TGTAGTTGTTTGTAGTACCATTCTTTAGTTTCTAGTACCATTATTTTGTTTGTAATTGTTTGTAGTAACGTTAATTTCGTTTGTAGTACCATTGTTTCGTTTGTAGTACCATTAATTCGTTTGTAGTACCATTATTTCGTTTTTAGTTGTTTGTAGTAACGTTAATTTCAATTGTAGACCCAATATTTCGTTTGTAGTACCATTCTTTCATTTGTAGTACCATTACTTCGTTTGTAGCTGTTTGTAGTAATGTTAATATCGTTTGTAGTACCATTATTTCGTTTTTAGTTGTTTGTAGTAACGTTAATTTCGTTTGTAGTACCATTAATTCGTTTGTAGTACCATTATTTCGTTTGTAGTTGTTTGTAGTAACGTTAATTTCGTTTGAAGTACCATTGTTTCGTTCGTAGTACCATTAATTCGTTTGTAGTACCATGATTTCGTTTGTAGTTGTTTGTAGTAACGTTAATTTTGTTTGTAGTACCTTTGTTTCGTTTGTAGTAATGTTAATTTCGTTTGTAGTACCATTATTTCGTTTGTAGTTGTTTGTAGTAACGTTAATTTCGTTTGTAGACCCAATATTTCGTTTGTAGTACCATTCTCTTAAAAAAAAATGAAAATGCTTAATGTCTTCATATACTCGTAATCTATATAAGTAGGTGTACATAACTGTAAATATATCCATAACTACTATAGACCCGTACAGTTATACATAACACAGAAACACACATATACTCACAAAAATACACACACACACACACACAAACGCATGCACATACACACACACACACACACACACAAACACACATACACACGTACACACCCGCAGATACATGTAAACACATTATGTTTGATGTGCATATCAGTAGTATGATCAATTTAATTTATTCAGACTTTTTCTTCCTTTATTACTCTGTACTCAGTTGTCTAATACATACACTATTATATCTAATAGAGTAATCTAATCTTGGCCATATTTATTAATAACTCTGTGCTCTAAATATGTATATCAACAATTTTATAACGCTGTAAGATTACCAATAAATAAATAAATAAATACAAACGAAATTAACGTTACTACAAACAACTACAAACGAAATAATGGTACTACAAACGAAATTAACGTTACTACAAACAACTACAAACGAAATAATGGTACTACAAACGAAATTAACATTACTACAAACGAAACAAAGGTACTACAAACAAAATTAAAGTTACTACAAACAATTACAAACGAAATAATGGTACTACAAACGAAATCAAGGTTACTACAAACAACTACAAACGAAATAATGGTACTACAAACGAAATCAAGGTTACTACAAACGAAACAATGGTACTACAAACAAAATTAACGTTACTACAAACAACTACAAACGAAATAATGGTACTACAAACGAAATTAACGTTACTACAAACAGCTACAATCGAAATGATGGTACTACAAACGAAATAATGGTACTACAAACGAAACAATGGTACTACAAACGAAACAATGGTACTACAAACGTAACAATGGTACTACAAACGAAATTTACGTTACTACAAACAAAATAATGGTACTGCAAACGAAATTAACGTTACTACAAACAACTACAAACGAAATAATGGTACTACAAACGAAATTAACATTACTACAAACAGCTACAAACGAAGTAATGGTACTACAAACGAAATAATGGTACTGCAAACGAAATTAACGTTACTACAAACAACTACAAACGAAATAATGGTACTACAAACGAAATAATGGTATTACAAACGAAATTAAGGTTACTACAAACAACTACAAACAAAATAATGGTACTACAAACGAAACAATGGTACTACAAACGAAATTAACGTTACTTCAAACCATTACAAACAAAATAATGGTACTGCAAACGAAATTTACGTTACTACAAACAGCTACAATCGAAATAATGGTACTACAAACGAAATAATGGTACTACAAACAAAATAATGGTACTACAAACGAAATAATGGTACTACAAACGAAATCAAGGTTACTACAAACAACTACAAACGAAATAATGGTACTACAAACGAAATTAACGTTACTACAAACAGCTACAATCGAAATGATGGTACTACAAACGAAATAATGGTACTACAAACGAAATAATGGTACTACAAACGAAATAATGGTATTACAAACGAAATTAAGGTTACTACAAACAACTACAAACAAAATAATGGTACTACAAACGAAATAATGGTACTACAAACGAAATAATGGTACTACAAACGAATTAATGGTACTACAAACGAAACAATGGTACTACAAACGAAATTAACGTTACTTCAAACCATTACAAACAAAATAATGGTACTACAAACGAAATTTACGTTACTACAAACAGCTACAATCGAAATAATGGTACTACAAACGAAATAATGGTACTACAAACAAAATAATGGTACTACAAACGAATTAATGGTACTACAAACGAAACAATGGTACTACAAACGAAATTAACGTTACTACAAACAACTACAAACGAAATAATGGTACTACAAACGAAATTAACGTTACTACAAACGAAACAAAGGTACTACAAACAAAATTAACGTTACTACAAACAACTACAAACGAAATAATGGTACTACAAACGAAATCAAGGTTACTACAAACAACTACAAACGAAATAATGGTACTACAAACGAAATTAACGTTACTACAAACAACTACAAACGAAATAATGGTACTACAAACGAAATCAAGGTTACTACAAACAACTACAAACGAAATAATGGTACTATAAACGAAATTAACGTTACTACAAACAGCTACAATCGAAATAATGGTACTACAAACGAAATTAACGTTACTTCAAACGAAGTAATGGTACTACAAACCAAAATTAACGTTACTACAAATGAAATAATGGTACTACAAACGAAACAATGAATGTATGTAGTAAAAATCGTTCTGGAAAATTACTCGAAAAAAAAATTTTTTTTTTGTTTTACTACAAACGAAAAAAATTGCACTACAAACCACTACTAACGTTTTTCTATACGAATCAAGCGAAAAAAAATTTTTTTACCAACTTCGGGGGATGACATTTTTTTTGTTGTCTGTATTTTTTTTTGACACTACTACAAACGAAGTTAGCTTCACTACTATCTACTACTAACCGAAATCGTTCAAATAAACCTAAAAAAGAACAATTTTTCCAAAGTCGGGTGCCAAGTTCACATAGCCGATCAAAATGACAGCTTATCAGAGTAATATATTTTTCATTTGTAAAAGTATATATTTAATAGTGTTGCTTAGTAAGTTGTTTTTAAATAATAGCAAACTAAATTAAAATGATTATCCTTAATTAATTTTAACTTTTTTAAATTACACATAGAACAATTATATGGCTTTAATAATTAATACTATATTTTTATATTTTTATTTATGGTTATAAATATAATAATGGCAACACTAAATATAGATTACTAATTAATATTTTTTAAAATTGTAATAATTATAAAAATAATAGCAAAAATTAAATAAATAATTTTCCATATTCAATTATAATTAAAATTATAAAAATGTTTAAAGTTAAAAAATATTGTAATATAATTGGTGCAATTTTCATTTTGTTAATTGTGGGTAGGCTGTCTGTAACAACTATATCTTTAAGACATGTAACACCTCAGTCGCTCCCGTGACCATGGATGCTGTACAGCATTCGAAACGTCGGGAACCAAAAATCAAAATAAATCCGCGAAATAATCCGAAAAGATAGTTTTATTTAATAAAAAAAGGTATTTCGTCAAAACTTACTCTTGAGATTTGTGCTTGAAAGTCATTATTTTTAAAGAAGGCATACGAATATCTATTTCTATTGGCAAACCTTTTATATCAGTGAATTAGTAAGAAGCCAATATAAACAAAGTTACAATGATGTTCTCCTAGCCGATTCCGGCCACGGCGGCCAATCTCATTGAGATTAGCCAACTGCGCAGGAGATATTATAGTGCACAAATGTACGCGCAGACACAAGTGCACTCTCTATTCCTGTCACTCTCATACTCCGGTAGGACGATCATACCGTGGTGGCCGGTGAGAGTTAAGGCGCAGGACCGACGGCTTTACGTGATCTCCGAGGCACGGGGGTGAAACACCGCCAACTTCCCAACTCCGGGCTGTTACTGAGACTTAATATACAGAAAGACTCAATAACTAAACTTGGCCCGACCCGGGACTCGAACCCAGGACCTCCGGGTGTGCAGCCGTACATGCTAGCCACTACACCACCGAGGCAGTTTTACAATAAAAAATATATTAAGTCGTTACAATAAAAAATATATAAAAATACAGTGTATGTGACACGTCAGATGTTACTTTATTGCCCGTACAGCTTTTAGATGAGAGGTTCAACGCTCTTCTTGATGATGTTGTTATTGTTACTATTTTTGTCTTTGTTCAATGTCAAATATTTCTGCTTATGAATACTATGTAATGTGTTTTTCTTTTGATTGAAAATTTTCTGCTTTTTCATTGCGAAAAATCATAAATGTTCTATTTTCTGGCTTATATTTTTTGTTAATTTTCGTATTTTTTTTTAATATTACGTACATAATTGTTGCAACCCTCACGAAATATTTTTAAATTGAAATAAGAAAGTTAATTAAAAAAAATGTTGATAGGAATTAAAAAAAAGTATAGCATAAATCCATCTACAGAAGACCCATCGATTGGTTAAAGTCCCATATCATTCGCTCTAGAAAAATAAAAACAAATCTATCCCGCGGGAACCATATATTTTTCCGGGATAAAAAGTAGCCTAGTGTTATTCTGACGTATGAGCTATATTACTTATTGTAAAGTTTCATTAAAATCCATTCAGTAGTGTTTGCGTGAAAGAGTAACAAACATTCGTACATCTATGTATAGATGTTTGTTATCTGATAACATAAAAGTTATAATATTAGTAGGATTTAATTGAATAGGACTATTTTTCTAAAACATTTAATCTTTTAAAATTTGGTCACAGATCATGGATTCATTCTTCAGCCTCTTCGATCCGTCTGATGGTAACCAAAATAAACATAACAATAAGAAAAGACATAAAAACGACCAAGAGAATGTGAGGAAGAACCCAGATGCTCCAAAAGGTGAGATGGTAATAGGATTCATGCATTTCGCTTATATTTGTTTTCCTTTTCGAATATATGTCGACCGTACATTATATCTACAATTTTTTTTCTTGTTTCACTATTTTAAAGTAGGTACTGACGAAATCATAGGAAATATTATAGTTTTTATGTACTTTCTCAGACTAAAGCTAACCCATAAATGTTTTTTTTTAAAAGGAAGGAGAAGAGGACGTCGATCCCACGGGAAAAACGAAACGTTGCCCGAGGAATCTTCTTTCCTCTGTGAGCCTGACCTCAGTACTGAGATACTAGTGAAAGATTGCAGTTACATTGAGAATTACATTGAAGTAAATAAGAAAGATGAAGGTAAGGATCTCTTGCGAGTAGAATTGGTTTTATTTATAACATATATACATACATACACTGCTTATTTAAAACAAAAAAAAAGCAAACAAAATAAATAGAGAAGACATTGTACTTATACAATAAAAAAATCAGTATGTTGCAAATTCGGGGGAATTTGTTTTTTTTTTTTTTAATAAATGTTTGTTAAAGTTCGAATAAGGCATTTTGGGAAAAAATTGCAAAAAAAATCTCTGAAAATAGTTTTAAGTGCGAGAGTAAAATACATAGAGTATTGGAGTATGAAATATTTTTTAAATTCCAGATAGCAAAGAAGAGAAAAAAACGCGCAGACGTAACTCATGTCGTAAAAATCGAAGGAAAAAGAACAAAATTTCACCAGCCAAAGATATCCCATTAAACACCGCTTGGCAGGAGGAAATACCGGAAACTTTGAACAACCAGTCATCTATCCCCAAAGTTTGCGACGAAAAAGTGGGGAAGAATGTAAACGATCTCAAAGATATTAAATCAACCAAAAGGAAAGAGAATGTGACAAAGTTTGAGGATGACAGGATTTACAATGTGATTGATAAGTTGGAGAAAGTCGGGATAAAGGATGATATGTATCTATCCGGAGATCTTGATACGGATTTGGAAAGTGATTTCTTCTACAGTTCAGATGATATGGACGAGTTTTGTGATGATACGTGAGTGACGTTTTTAATTATATTCTTAACGTTTAGTATACATATATTTTTCATAGATATTTTCCCGCAATAAAAAGTATCCTATATGTTGACCCGAATAACCAGCTATCATTATACCAAATTTCATCAAAATCTGTCCAGTGGTTTTCTCGTGATGCGGTCACAGACAGTCAAAAATTTAAAAAATTTTAGTTTCGGCCTCTGTATCGATAATAATGACTATTTCAATAAGATTTTCCAAAAAATGTTTAATGTACAGATTCGACACAGTTTGAATTTTATTATATATGTATAGATGGCACAAACAGTAAATAAAAATATTACAATATATAGAAGGTGACGTGGACAAAAGAGAACTTATCTCTATAATAAATCTCTTCCAGCCAACCCATGTTTTTACAAGCTTTTATAAGCTATGTTTCTACCTAAGGGTCTATGCCCACTACGTTATATGAACGCGCATATTATAAACGCGTTTCTGCTGCGCTGATAAATTTAAATAATTCAATCTGCATTATTTACTATTTTTGCTTGAGTTTGTAATGATATTGAAGTGCGAGAAGCGAGAGAAAGCGCCATAAAAAGTCGTCGTGTGCATAGACCTTAACATCTATCAATATTTGATCAGATAGATCAAATATTGATAGATCTTACCTGACCTTGCCTTATTTCCATCGATCAAAAAACTACTAGATACACTATCCCATGCAAAAGTTCTCTTAAAACTGTCACCGATTGTGCTTAGGTAATTGTTCTAGTTGAAATAAATATACAACAATGTAAATTGAACCTTAAATGTAATGCTTAAAGCTGTTTTCATAAAAAACTTAAAAGCGCGCTGAAATGTTCAAATGAGCGCTTATTCGGTGAGGACATTATTTGTCGCCGATTGTGTATCTAGTACTTTTTTGATCGATGCTTATTTCTAATTGTCGAATTGGTTTGAAAGTTGTTAATTAAATTTTCATGACAATACAATAATTTGACACCATTTCACTTGGTCTCATGACGGAGCCAGGAGATGGGTACTGAATAGTGGAACACTTTTTGTTTTTACAAGTTTTGTACAAGTATAGTTGCTCGAAAGTATGTTTTATTAGTTTTTTAAACTATAGTTTTGTTTTAATATTTAACATCAGTGTATTATCAGCACATTTTTTTTTATCATCTACCCCCAAAAACATTAGTTTATCAATGATTTATCAAATAATTACACAAAAAAGCAATGTTAATGACGATGGAAGTTTAAAGTCTTATATAATTTTTTTTTTCATACTTTTTTATAAGTTCAACAAAGTATGTATGTATATTATGTTCCGTATTTCAGTACCTCAGATGCGGAGGACTCGGGGGACGAGTGCTACGGCAGCCTGCCCCCGGAGCCCCGCTTCGGCAATGTCGAATACAAGCTGCAGCTGGTGTCGCCCTGCGAGAGACGCTTCCAACATCTGGTCACGCAGGTATGTGGGAGAGAGACGGATAGACAGAGAGAGGGGGAGAGAGAGAGAGAGTAAATGTGTTTTTAATATATTTTTAGGGGGTTTAGGGTAAATAAAGTATTCTCTTTGGTGAGGCTGTTTAATGTTATTTGATTTTTTTTATTTTTTTCTACTGAAATAAGATGTTAGAGGGGTCGGTTTGTTTGGAATAGGTATTTTTTAATAAATGACGTTGTTATGGCGAAGTGTTATTGACTTAAAATGCCACCCTTTGATTTGCTCAAAGTGACGCCAAAGTTAAAAGTGGCGCTTTATAATATAGGTATTTAAAATTTCATCCTATTTTTTACTTAAAATGGCTCTATGATTTACTCAAAATGGCGCCATTGTAAAAACGATCAAGTTAAAATGTCGCGTTATAACATATTAAATATTTTTTCCTATTCCATTCTCAAAATGACGCTAAAGTGAAGGCGACACACTTAAAAATGGCCATCCTTAATCCTAACTCAAAATGGCGCCAGACGACTAACACCTTATGGCTTCCTTCGTGCCAGCTGAAGTGGCGGCTGCGGTCGGGCGGCGGCAGCGCGGTGTACGTGGTGGGCGTGCGCGACTGCGGCGCGCTGCGCGGGCTGCGCGCGCGCGCGCTGCGGGCGTCGCTGCGCGCGCTGCGCCGCATGGCGGCCGCGCTGGGCGCCGCGCTGGTGAGCGCGCGCGCGCGCCGCGTCGCGCCCAGCCGCGCCGTCGCCGAGGTCTACATACGGAAGGTAGTGTGGATGTGGCTGTGGTTATGTTGTCATATTTTTTCAATAATAATAAATATTATATAATATCCACTATTCATAGAATGTACATCACTATATACAAATAAATAAATAATGTAAATAAATATAGGGACATTAACACACAGCGCCATCTAGTTCCATGGTGAGCTACGAGGCTTGTGTTATGGATACCGGATAGTTGTTACACTACACATATATAACTTTAAATACATACATATTATAAACACTGGTTACTATTTTTATAAGATATATGTTTTTCAATATAAAAATTGAATTTAGCTCTTTTAATGCCCCACCGTTGAAGGTGGATGTCTTTTTAATACGAAGAGACAGGTCATAACCCAGTCCTTAAGACAAGTATAATCATATGAAAAATAATTAACACATGAAAATATCAAATTTGGTTTTTCAAGAGAAGCGTATTGCCACTCTAATACAACTGGCTTAAAAAAATGATAGCCCAAAAAATATAGAAAATATATTTTATTTTAATAACATTCCTGTAATAAAACCATAGAATCACAATTAACCATTGTTTAATCTCCAGTTAGCGGACACGCAGCAGAGCGTGGAGCTGCGCGTGGCGGTGATGGGCGCCAACGAGGCGGGCAAGTCCACTCTGATTGGTGTTCTTACTCAAGGTGAAACTTATTTATTAATAAAAAATAATCTAAAACCTTATATATCAATCTATGTATATAAAAATCCATGTATATATGTATGTTCCCTATGGACTCCGAAACGGCTGCAGCGATTTTGATGAAATTTTCCGGCTATCTTCAGATTAGACCAGCGAGTGATCCTATAAGGTTTGGTAGCGCGGGTACTACTTAGTATATACAAGTAAAAATCAATGTTTACATGTTTTGTACGCTATATCTTCTTAACCGTTGATTCGATTATGATGAAATTTTTGTGAGTTGTTCTGCGTACTTTGTGAAGGTCCCTGCCAAAAAAAACTTTTTTTGTGTATTTGTATTACACACTAGCGACTCATCCTAGTTTCAGTCAGGTTTGTCTCTAGGTTGATTCTCCATACAAACTTTCACCCCCATTTTCACCCTCTTAATGGATGATTTCCAGAATAAAACTATCATATACATATATATTCGGTACAAATAAAACAAACAAAAAAGTTTTCCTCTTTATAATATTAGTATAGATTTTTAAACCTTAATTTACTCCTAGGAATGTAAACCTTTAGCTGTTATTAAATAATTTCAAATTGTTAAATAATAGCAACACTAATAAGAATTATTTATTTATTTTAAATAAGTAAAAATATTTTTTTTTTCATTTTCAATAGGCGAATTGGATAATGGACGAGGTAGTGCGCGTTTGAACATGTTCAGACATCTGCACGAGGTGAAGAGTGGCAGGACCTCGTCCCTCAGCCACGAGATATTGGGGTTCGATGCTCAGGTGAGGCAATTTGAAGTATTTAAACAGTTATAATCTATAGTGCTAGTCTAGAGAACTACTGAATGAGTTTAGATGCGATTTTTGCTGCCTGTTATGATCAGCATTTTGAAGAAAATAGTTTTTAAAATTAAATATATAGTATTTGTTACCATCCTACCCCCACCCTCAATTTTTTAAGTAAGTAGTTATTTTTTAAGTGAACCCGAGTGAAGCGAGGGTGAGTCGCTAGTTTAATATATAGTTATACAATAATGTATGGAAGTCCGCTCGATTTATTGACATTTGTGATTACTGCTCCGCTCCCTTGTGTAGTAGTATGATGATATATAGCCTATAGCCTTCCTCAATAAATGGACTATCAAATTGAAAAAGAATTTTTCGAATCGGATCAGTAGTTCCTGAGTTTAGCGCGTTCGAACAAACAAACTGCGCACAGCCAAGAAATGGAATGCCCTGCCTGCGTCTGTTTTTTCCGAGAGCGTACAACCTGAAACTTTTTAAGGTGCGTGTCAACAGGCTTCTCCTGGACAAACTCGCTAGATCTTAGACTTTATCTATGCCTTCAAGCTAAGATGAAGATCAAGATTGAGCCCATTTAAAAAAAAACTGCCTTTTTATAATATTAGTATAGATGTATGAGCCAAAGCCGAACAGCGACCGGGTGCCCCACGACATTGACCAATTTTTTTTTTAATTTTTTTTTGAAGTTATTCTTCTTTTGGGATGCTTAGAAAAAAATATGAAAGTAAAATTCTTACGATATGCGCGTACACCGACAATCAAAAAGCGACAAGATGAAGTTAGCTTATAACTGTTTGTTGCCATGGAAACCGTTGTTATTGTCTGACAAATGATATATAATATTATATTTTTCCCCTAAATGATATTCTATAAATATATGATTGTAATATCCCTTATTTAATTATTTTATTTTTTTATTTTCAGGGTAATGTAGTAAATTATGGATGTTCAGAACTGATGACTGCTGAAAGAATAGGTGAGAGGAGTGCCAAGTTGGTCTCGTTCTTAGATCTAGCGGGACACAGCAAGTACCAGAGGACAACGTTGCATGGTCTCACCGGGTACTCCCCGCACTATGCCATGCTTGTGGTGAGTTGATAGATATAAAAAAATGCATTTAAAGAGGGGTTTTTTTTAAATATTATTTTATTTAAGACTCGCTCGGGTTCGTCCCTAGGTTGATCCCCATACAAATTTTCATCCCCATTTTTACCTCCTTAAAGGGATTATTTCCAGGATACAAAGTATTTACCTGTGTTGATAAACAAGAATTTAACATTTAATATAGCTAAATCTCGCGACAAGCTTTTATATCATATAAATTGTGTAATGTAATAAATTGTTGGGTTTGATTTAAAGTTTATTTTCTTCTTTTTAGAGCATTTAAATAAGAAGTAGTTTTTAAAAATATTTTTTTCTATTAATTTATTTTTTAGTAACTAGTCCGCCATCTTGGGTGCTCCGCCATGTTGGATTTAGAATCACGTCACACAGCTAGCGATGCGTTGTCATCCAAACTAAACGTGTATACAAAATTTCACCTCAATCAGTGAAGATTTCTGCTTCAAAATTGAGTTGCAAGATTTCACACGAACAAATATACATACATTGCAAGTTAAATAAAACCTTGTAAAAAAATATACATATATAATGTTATTTTTTTTTTTATTATCCAGATATCGGCCACAGCTGGCATCACTAAAATAACAGAAGAGCACATCGGACTGCTGCTAGCTCTGGACATGCCATTTTTCGCGGTCATAAATAAATGCGAGCTGAACAACAATGTTGGCAACATTGTCGCCAGGTTGGCGCAACTGTTGGAGCCGGCTAGTAAGGTGAGTTTGTCCGCCATTTTGTTTTTTTTTTATTATGTTGGTTTTTTTATATCGTTTAACTCTCTTAGATTTACGCGAATTTTAATATTTTGAAGAAAACTATCTTTTCGAAGTTTTTCGCGGATTTTGACAATGGTTGCTGTAAATTTAACATGTTGAGAACCAAAAATCTGATTAAATCTGAGAAGACAGTTTTATTTAAAACGTCTGTTATGATTTTTATAGATATTTTCTACAGTAAATGTGTAAGTGCGTGTTTGTGTCATGTTTTGTATTTGTCTGTTGTTCTTACACGCTAAAACAGCTGTATCGGTTTCGATGAAGTTTAGTGCACAGATCTGTAATAACACAAAGCAAAAAACAAAAATATCAATACCAATATTATAAATGCGAAAGAAACTCTTTGGCTGTCTGTCTGTTCGGGACTTTTTCACGTCGAAACCGCTGAACCAATTTTGATGAATTTTGGTATTAATATGGATGGGACCTTGGAGAAGGATATTGGCTACTTTTTGTCGCAAAAATGACACTTTGTCTATACCTATGTATGTATGTATGTATGTATATATACATATCTATACTAACTGTTAAAACGTACCTTGGGACGAACCCGAGTGAAGTGAGTGTATGTTACTATGTAGTTAATTATATATTCTCAATTTTGTTTTTTTTTAATCCCAAAATCGACGGTCGAATTGAGATATGAATAGTATTTTTTTAATACATACATTGTTTTATTTGAATCAACTATTCTCTTTCAGAAACCCCTGCTCATAACAGACGAAAATCTAGCCAGAAATTGTGTTGTGCCGCAGAAGTCCATCCTGGATACCATTGATACAGGCAACATGGCTGAGGAAGAAAAAGAAGAAGAGTGAGTTGTCTTTTATTTTATTCTTTTGTTGTGACAGAGGTAGTTCAGTGAAGCGGGTTCAAATCTCGGGTCTAACACTTCTGATGTTTTCAAGTGCAAATCGTTTCCAACATGATCACCACTTGTCTTACGGTGAAAGAGAGCATCATGAGGAAACTTGCATATCTGAGAGAACCTAGCAAGTTGTCTGCAGACATGCTCAGTCCACCCGCACTTGGCGAAAGATATATATTTAAAACCAGTGACACCCCCTCACTTCGCTCGGGTTCTTCCTTAGATTGATTCCCAATACAAACTTTTTATCCCCATTTTCACCACCTTAAGGGATGATTTCCGGAGTAAAAAATAGGTATACTATGTCTTTAGCAGGGTCTCAAACTATCTTATTACCAAATTTCATCTAAATCGGTTCAGTAGATCCAGAGGTTACACCCTACGACCTCACCAACTTTACCTTTTTATAATATTAGTGTAGATAACACATACTATAATTGAACAGTGCACACACACATGCTTATATTACACACGCATTTGCAATAACAATGTATTAATTGACAATGTCTACATATAATGTGACGTGTGTCCGTCTGACCCATGCAGGGCTCCGTGGTCGCTGGTGCCCGTGTTCCCGGTGAGCAGCGTGCGCGGCGCCGGCCTCGCCGCGCTGCACGCCTACTTGCTGGCGCTGCGCCCGCCGCCCGCCGCCACCGCGCCGCGCCCAGACGTGAGTGGCGAGTCGTGGTCCGGATGTGGTCCATGGTGGGGTGAGCGTGGACCACGGTTGGTCGTGTGGTGGTCCACATGGGAGGGGTCGTGAGCCACAGCTGGTCCATCTGCTAGTGTATATTAAAGTGTAACTGATCGCTGTCTGTACATGGAAAAATTTCAGAAAATCTATTGTTGGGGGTGTTTATCGGCGCAATAGAACCTAAAATAATGATTTTTAGTATTTCTGTCTCGTCTGTGGCTTTACGCGCGTTAGTCTCAGAAACGGCTTAACCGATTTGGGTGCGGTTTTCTCTCATTTTTGTTGTAACCTTCACTTAATATTTGGTACTAGTGACTCACCGTCGCTTGGCTCGGGTTCGTCTCTAGCTTGCTTCCCAATACAAACTTTCATCCCCATTTTAACCCCCTTAAGGGATGATTTCCGGGATAAAAAGTATCCTATGTTCTTCCCAGTGTCTCAAACTATCTTCTTACCAAATTTCATCTAAATCGCTTCAGTAGATCCAGAGACTATCCCCTACAACCTCACAAACTTACAAACTTTACATCTATAAAATAAGTATATTTGTTTTGTTTCAATCGGTTCATAAATAAAAAAGTTGCGTTAATTTCAAGAATCACCTAGGGATGAATCCGAGCAAAGCGAGGGTGAGTCGCTAGTAGAGGATATTTATATGTAAATATATAAAAATTTATATTGTGCGCTTACACAAGATGTAATGTACGTGACATTGGTGAAGTAATCTGTACACAACTCACACGCTTTGAAGACATTAAACAAGACAGTTGAATTGAATTAGATCAGATGTAGTCCAGTCGTGACGATTTCAGTCCATAGGAGTGAGATTTGAGTACATATGTAATAGCCAGATATGCAATAAGTGGACCACATTTCGATCGAAGTGTTGGTGGAGATTAGTGATTGTGCACTTGAACCAAATGTCGGTCCATATGCAGTTTAGATTGTTAACTCTAATAACGTGAAGAGTTTCATCAAATTATATTAAAACAAAGTTTACAATTAAATAAGGTATTTAAAATGTATCTAATATACATATAATTAAGCGAAGTAAATAACTTGGACCATATTTCGGTCCAGGTGTGGCATATAGCGAGTTTTTTTTTACATAATCTGTAATAGAAACAGACACTCCCTATCTTTCTTTTATCTATCTGTATTTTATAATAAATATTATATAGGAAATACTTTCTCAGATTTACGTGAATATTTGACATTTTAAATAAAACTATCTTTTCGGATTTTGTCGCGCATTTTTTTTATCATAAAGTAAAGCATTCGAAACGTCTCGTTGGGAACAAAATAGGCAAAGAAATTTGAAAAGATAATATTATTTCAAATTATATATAATTATTGCAAATTTCCAGGAAACATGTGAATTTCAAATCGACGAAATATTCCACGTGGGTGATTCCACTGGGCCGGTGGTCGGGGGCTTGCTGGCTCGAGGACAGCTGTATGAAGGAGATAACTTAATTATAGGTGAATACACATACATACATACAGAGGAGTTACATAAAAAGGGAACAGACGAACATACATACATACCGGTCTAAATCATAACCCTCCTACTTTGCTGTTGTCATGTAAAAATAAAAACAGCTAACGGATTTTATTATAATTAAAAAAATAATTATATATGCTAATATTATGCTCTCTCTCTTACAAGAGGAAGAGAGAAATAGTGCTTAAAATACATAAGAATATAGTATTATTCAAACATTCGTGCTCATCACACAAATGAATTCCCCCAGCGGGACTCGAACCCGCGACCGCTGGCACAGTAAGTAGGGTCGCTAAAAACTGAGCCAAAAGTGTCGTCATTATATTATTATTTTTTTCAGGACCCCTAGATACAGGAGAGTTCGTAGAGATCTCAGTCAAAACGATCTACAGGAACAGGGTCCCCTGTGGGATGGTGAAGGCAGGACAGTCTGCTTCGCTGGGTCTCAGCCATTTCCCCCCTAACCTGAGACAGGGTATGGTACTTCTGGCCATTCCGGAGAGGTACAACAAGGATCATGAGAAACCCACATTTGGAGGATGTCCTCCGGGAAAGTGCAAAGGGAGAGAGGTGAGGTTTTGGGGGAGCGAAGAATAATGTTGTAACTTGGTTCTGTTGGTATTATAGATAGAATAATATATCATAGAACTAAATGTGAAGCCAAACTACAATGTTTTAAAATATTTGTTGTAATCTGTGGAAAATATTATACTCTTGACAGCGCCATCTATTAACCTTACAAGTAACTCTCTGCGGCTAAATGCTTAAGTTTCTATCACTGTTGGCATGATGTTGAAGTATGTTATATCATCCATATTCATATCCATATTAATATTATAAATGTGAAAGTTTGTCAGTATGGATGTTTGTTACTCTTTCACGGCGGAACGGATCTGGATGAAATTTGGCACAGAGATAGATTATAGTCTAGACTAGTAAATAGGTTACTTTTTATCACTGAGAAATGTACGGTTCTCGCGGGATAGATTCGTTTTTGATTTCATTTCGAGTTGTGTCGCGGATTTATATTGATTATTGATCCCTGACGGTTCGTTTTTTTTTTTATACTGTGTAACAAAGCTGTTCCTCGTTGAAAATGTTTTTTTTAATTGCTGAATAGTTTTAAGTGATATTTATTCTTATTTCTTTTTCTTTATTATTTCAAACAGTAATGTAGTTAAATTCATATCTAACACAATTTTGGTATTAAATAATCGTATGTATTTTAAAAATACTATGAATATTGTTTTTAAAATATATATTTATGCTATATACACTATTAAAAGGTCACAATCATTCTTCAAGTCATTTCTTCCTGTTTCATTGTATTTCTTTCAATTTCGTCCTATTTCAGTCTATTTCATCTTAATTTTTCAGATAACAGAGCTAGTAAATGCATCACAAGTTGAGAAAAACAGGAAAAACGCGCGACGACAGAACAAAAATATCCTACAGGACATCGCTAACGTACAGAACAGTCTGACCAAAAACATGGAAATAAAAAGTCCCAATATCTACAAAGAGGATGAAATATCCACAAAAAATAATAAAAGCGATGATAAAATAGATTTTGATGAGTGCGTCTGTAACGACTTAGTGCTTTTGGAAGACCCGAATGATCCCAGAGGATGTATTTATTTTCAGGTAAGTTTCATTTGACCTCTTATAAAAATATTACGGACGTCCCTAGTTACGTTTTAACGTTTAGTATAGATTTCTCAGAGATGAGATATTTTCCCGCAGTAAAAAGTATCCTATATGTTGACCCGGATAATCAGCTATCATCATACCAAATTTCATCAGAATCTGTCCAGTGGTTAGCTTGATGCGGTCACAAACAGACAAAAATTCTAAAAACTATAGATTCCGGCCTCTGTATCGATAACAATGACTATTTCAATAAAATTTTCCAAAAAAAATTCAAGGTACAGATTTGACTTAGTTATATATAAATATATATATATATAACTAATTACAAATAAGTGGTTATCTCTATGTGTATACAATAAGCTACCATCCTCAGGCGTCGGTGCACGTGTTGCGGCACTCCACAGCCATCTACCCGGGCTTCCAGTGCTCCGTGCACGTCGGCAACGTGCGACAGACCGCCATCATAGAGGTCAGTATTATTTATTATCAAATCCCATCGATGAAAAAAGCACTAGATACACAATCAGCGACAAAATATGTCCTCACCGAATGAGCGCTCATTTGAACATTATAATAATAATAATATTCTTTATTTGTAGTAAAAAATCAGGTTACAAAAATATACTCTACATAACTATTTCGCTTAAAACATAATGATGTTCTCCTGACCGATTCCGGCCACGGCGGCCAATCTCATTGAAACTAGCCAACTGCGCAGGAGATATTATAGTGCAGCGCGTGTGAAGGAGAGCGCAGACACAACGTGCACTCTCTATTCCTGTCACTCTCATACTCCGGTGGGACGACGCGAGACACGACCGGTGAGAGTTAAGGCGCAGGACCGACGACTTTACGTGCTCAAATAATAATATAAGATTATCCAGTAAGAGTGCTTAGGAGCTCGTACTAGGAAAATCTGTATTACGAGCACCGTTACCTTCCTCTAGATTTACAATATATGGACCAAATAGTTACTGAAGTTTGTAGATTATAATGGTAGAAGATAGAATGAATAAAATAAGAAATTTTTTTGTGTGTACGTTTGTATATGTATGTGTGTGGTGTGTGTGTGTGGTGTGTGTGTGTGGTGTGAACATTTGAGCGCGTTTTTTTTTATTTATTTCAGCTAGAATAATTATGACCTAAACACAATTGGTGACAGTTTTAAGAGAACTTTTGCATGGGATTGTGTATCTAGTAGTTTTTTGATCGACGTCAAATCCATACATCTATACTAATTTTATAAATGTGAAAGTAACTGTGTTTGTTTGTCTGTTACCTTTTCACGCTTAATCCGCTGAACCGATTTAGATGAGTTTGGTATGCAGATAGTTTGAGACCCTGGGAAAGACATAGGATAGTTTTTATCCCAAAAGTTATCACTTAACAGGAGGAAAAATGTGATGGAAATTTGTATAGGGAATCGATCGTTTTTTCATGGGAGATAAAACTTTCATCTAAATCGATTCAATGGACTTTTAAATTATCCATTACAAACACTACTTTCTCTTTATAATATTACATATAGATTTTAATCTTATTTCTTGACTCAGGGTATAATGTCTCCCAACAATGTTCTTCGAGCCGGAGAAGGTGCTTCCGTACTCTTCAGATTTGCAAGATGTCCGGAGTATTTGGTGAGAGGACGGAGGTTGCTGTTCACTGCTGGCTTGGGGACTAGGTGAGATATGGTTTAATCTATTTTGAAGTTATACGTCTTTTGACACGTTTGGAAAAAAATATGAGAGTAAAATTTTTACGATGCGCGCGCACACCGACAGCCAAAAAGCGACATGATGAAGTTAGTTGCATTCCGTTCACAAACAGAGAGTTCTTAGTTCTTACGTGAGTACATAAGTATATACACACAGTCTTTATTAGTGTTTGTTTGATTTAATACCTCATATTTTAGTTTTACGCGAACATTTGATATTTTAAATGAAACTATTTTTTCGGATTTTTCGCGGATTCATTTGGGTTTTGGGTTCCTGATGTTTTGGATGTTTTCCAACGATAATGGTCACGGGGTCTCTTCCATGACCATGGTTGGAAAAATCGCGAAAAAATCCGAAGGGACAGTTTTATTTAAAATACCAGACTGTCATTAGTTTAATAATTGTTTTACATAAAAATTATGAAATCAATAACTTTGATAAAACATTGTTGTACCTATAAAGTTTAATTTTAATTCTCTTTAGAGAAAACCACGAAAACGGTTATTCATAAATTTATGTTCCATGATTAAAATAAACCGGTTAAAATTTGTTTTTGTGTGTTTACCAAGGCTCGGAAACCCGTTCTATTTTTAAACCGGTTTTGTCATTGACCCCAAACCGCAAGAATTTTCGGTTTAAGGTTTCCGTTATGTTATTTAACCGATTAAATACGGAAGAACGGTTATTGATAAATTTAGATGTCATGATCGAAATTAACTCCTTAAAGTGAGTTTTTGTGTATTTACCGATTTATTTCTGTATCAAAACCTAAGTGTAACCTTTCTCGAAGAATATTATATTATTTCGGTTTGCTAAACCATTTGTTTTTGTTTGTTTATTTTTTTATCGAAATCAACAATTTTTTAAACGTTTTTTTAGGAACAAGTCACTAAGTTGTTTCTGTACATGCTGTACAGATTGAAAAAGAAAAATATTTTTTTTAATATGCGGTTTCTTTCCAGGGCCATCGGACGTGTGACGCAAACTTTTCCATATGTACCATGAAAATAAAACATAACACTACTGGATTAAACAAAGGAAATCCTGAGAATATTCCAGATTTGAAGTAAATACTTCTTTCTACTACGCCTTCTTAGGGCTTAAAACGATTCCATGTAACTTTGTACAAGGATAACTTTGTATTTGATGTTTTTTTTAAGATATAGCTATATACTTAATATTTCAGTAATTTAAATTATGATACTGTAGTTTCTTTTTTTTTAATTGTTTCGATTAGGAAATTTAGTATAAATATATTTATGTATGTATAGGCTCAGTACAGATTCTCAGTAATGGTGGGATGTTTTTTTTTAATTTAATTTTATTATATAATGAAAATATAAAAAAAATATTAATGCTAGAAAATAATTATTTGACAAAAAAAAATGACGAAAATAATTTAAAAATTACTAGGCTGTGTGTCATTTGTAACAGCGATTAAATTAAAAAAAATAGTTAAATTATAATAATAGAAAAAAAACAATAACAGCATTATTGTTGTTTTTTTTATTTATTCAAAACTAATGTTCGTATATAATACTGCCACTTTTTTTAAATTGTGGATAAATCTCATAACTTTTATACTTTTTAGCAATAATAAATTAGTATTTGAGTCACTTTTTTTCTACTATAGTAGTCAATGCACGCGGATTTTCTTTTTATTATTATAATACAATTTTTGTGTCTTTCAATCCGCCTAGATGTAGCTAAGAAAATATAAAAAATATATGTACATATGTACGTATGTATTTATAAAAATACTAGCGACTCACCCTTGCTTCGCTTGGGTTCAGACTTCAGATATAATGAGCTGTTGTGGATTGTGTTATATTATAACGTGTTTTCCCGTGGGAATGAGATAATCTCCCGCGGTATATAGTAGCCTATGTCACTCTCCAGCCCTCCAACTATCTTCACACAAAAGATCACGCTAATCCGTCACTCCGTTTCGACGTGAAAGAAGGACAAACAAACAAACACACTTTCACATTTATAATTTATAATTTAGTATATGGATGAAAAATAATCAGTATATATTAAAATATAGATAAATTACTCTTTAAATTCTATATAGAATTGTGTGAAGTTTTTTTTTTCAAAATAATCTTATATCTTTGAAAAATTTTAACTTTTTTTTTACTTTTCATCTTGGCATAATTGTCACTATGCCTAAGTGCGAATTATTATATTAAAAAGTTAATAAAATTATAAATTACAGTTTTATATAAAAGCACTTCAATTTTCATTAACTCTTATTAACCGACTTTAAGAAGAAGGAGGTACTTAATTCGAGTAGATAATTTTTGTGTGCACCGATTTTGATTAATGTTTTTATTAAATAGTTTATATCTCAAGGGTCTCATTTAAACAACAAACATTGGACCATTTAGGGTTTTATACTAAATATAATTACTTCAAAAAGTTATTGAAGTCATTGTAACTTTTTAATAAAAAAAAAGATATATATAAAAAATTGTCTTGATTAAAAATTAGCCCATTGTAATAATAAAAAATGTCACTTAGTAATAAAAAAAAATTACCAAACATCATCGATCAAAAAAAGTACTAGATACACAATCCCATGCAAAAGTTCTCTTAAAACTGTCACCAATTGTGTTTAGGTAATTGTTCTATTTGTAATAAATATACAACAATGTAAATTGAACCTTAAATGCAATGTTTAAAGCTGTTTTCGCAAAAAAAAATTAGAAGCGCGTTCATACATTCAAATGAGCATTTTTAGTAGGTACTTTTTTGATTAATGCCAAATATAGAAAACTGTTTTTTTTTTGTAATATTGACAAGAACATTTACATATTATATTGTTGTAATTTTAACTTTCACTGTCCTTAGCAAATAGCACTTATAGTACTTTAATATGTACCTCAGTTATATTTCAAAATTAACAAAATTTATATATTTTATTTCATATAGTCTAAGGACTAAAAGAATAATTAAAACAAAATTTATTTATATATTATCTCTACACCTCGGCCTAATAGAATATGTAAGATGGAGTGTCATAGAAATAAACATAAAGTGAACCAAAAATGTCAATGAGTCAACTTCTGGAACTTTTTAGGTACATATTATATAGATGTTAATGTACGTAGAGAACTACCAGGTATAATAATCTCCTTAAAATCATATTTTTTAATTAAAAAAAATATTTTAATATTTATTATATTTTAATGAATAATTGATTTTTTTATAATAATACAATAATATGTTAATTAATAAAAGTAAATAAAAAAATGAATATTAACGATTAACATGAAAAGTTCCCATATAGTCTGTAGAAAGTAATCTATCTCTATGGCAACATTAGGAAATCTGGTATAGTAACTTAAACAGTAAATTAAGCTACTATTTTAGATTATGTCATTTCTTTGGTGGACTCCATCTAAATAATTATTTAGTCTGAGGTTTTATAACGATGTGATTCTTTTATATTTTCTCAAAGTTTTGAAGCAACTAATTTATGTACACTATTAGATAGTTCAATGTTTGTGTGTTAAAAATTTTAAAATGCGAAATGAAAATAAAAAATGATTTGTGTAAAAAATTAAAATGGAAATAATATGATTTCAGATTTTTTGGGGATTTGCACATTGTAGATAATAAATAATAACGATAGCAACTGAGTTTTATATTTAGCCATTTACGTTTCCTTTCCTTGTTTCCTTTCTCTAAATAAAATATATACTACTAGCGAGTCACGACTGCCCTCGCTCTACTCTGGTTCGTCCCTAGGAACGTTTTGACGGATAATATGGATTTCTCCGAGATATTTTCCCGCAGTAAAAAGTACCCTTTAAGTTGAACCGGATTATCAGCTATCATCTTACCAAATTTCATGAAAATCCCTTCAGTGATTTTACCGTGATGCGGTAACAGACAGACTGACAGACAAAAATTCTAAAAACTATAGTTTCGGCCTCTGTATCGATAATAATGTCTATTTCAATAAGATTGTCAAAAAATATTTAATGTACAGATTCGGTTTAGTTACAATTTTATTATATGTATAGATTAATGGTTTGGCACAACAGTTAGTATGTTATGAAATACGACATGAAACCAAAATGTACATGCGATTTTCATATTAACCATTTTAAATCGTGGTAAACAACTCTAATATAAGCAACGCCATCTGTAAAACTCGGATTTTATAATAATCATTGAAATTACAGTAATTTAAGAATATTCTAAAAACATTTATTAGGAAATCCTAATTCGCCAAATAATAAATAAGTACATTACAATTTACAAAACCGAAAAAACAAGATCGAGTTATGAGAGGCGGGTAATGTTATTTTTAAATCTTGCACACTTTAAAAGTTAAAACCATTTTATACTGTTACATTTATGAAAATAATTGTTATTTTTATTTATTATGAATTTTTATTTTTATATTAAATATTTTTCTATCAAATATTTTTATTGGCCAAAAACCTGGATTGCTTTCCCGTGACTTTGAATTGAGGTTATAAAAAATCATCGATGACCTACTATACGTCAGAGGAATAATTTTTTCACTTTTATTTTGCTATTTTGTTTTTAGCTACGAACCGAAATAATTACCTCATAGTAATAATACATAAGTTAATATTACGAATTACTCAATAAGTTTTGTAAATAATGTAACTCGTTAATTTGAAAAATTGTCGTAAGTGTATGTTAAATCGCTGATCTTTTAAGAATAATCTGACGCCACCGGATATTATTCATATTTTCCTACATATTTTAATATTGAATTACATATATAACAATTAAATAGAGAAAAAAAGAAAAAAGTACAAAAGTCAACAGGTTTGTGAACACGTAAGTATAAGTATTTATTGTTGTCTTATTTAGTTTATTATTAAAGTTATTACAATAGTTACTCCTTACGCTAAAATAACGGAAGAAGGATTATTTAAGTTATAATTTAAATAGAAATAATACTCGGAACTTTTTCTAAATACTTCCAATATTTAGTTTGATTGGTATGATACAACAGCTATGTTCTTAAATATATATTAAAAGATTATTTTAATATTACCCAAAAAAATAACTTTTATATGAATAAATGAGTGCCTTAATATATAATTTGTAAGGCTAAATAAATACAAGTTTATTTTCATGGTTCGATTTAAGGAAAGATAATTGAGCCGGTGTGAATGGGGAATTCCAAAAGTAATAGGAATAACAATGTACCAAAGAGGTTTACTGTAAACACATTTGAATTAAAAAAACATGAGATAATACTGCATCAGCCTATAATGTATAATTAGCATAGAATCCTGAATCCTGCAAAATATATTTCCTAACTAGCTACTCACCCTTGCTACGCTTGTGTTGGTGAAGTACACTGTACTCTACTGACATGTTTAAAAAGCAAAAGATTTTTTTTTTCAGTTCAACAATGGCGGACGACATTGATATAGAGGAACATGATCTTTTAGATAATCCTCGCATTAAGAACATTTTTCCAGACATTACAAGTATCAAGACTGAAGTTATTGATTATGAAGAAGGTATGTATTGGTGGAAATCTTTTTATTTTTCTATATCTTTCAACTATATTCCATTAAAATCGGCTTAGCAGATTTTGAGACTAAATGCAAACATCCCATAGACAATTTTTTTATTATATAATAATTATTTTCATGTTTTTACTCTACAAGAAAAGAAAAATATACATATAACCAATTTCTTTCAATTGGGTGGTCCAATTATTGAATTAATTTTGAAACACACTTTGCAATTATGATATAGAAGTACTTTAGAAAGTTGTAGCCCAGTGACATCACACTTGCTTGGAAAACTGAGTAAAGCGGGTTCAAACCCCGGATCTCGCACTTCTGATTTTCATATACAAATCATTTCCAACATGATTACCACTTGTCTTGACGGTGAAAAAAACATCGTGATGAAACCGGCATGGCTGAGAAAACCTAGCAAGTTTCGAAATACATGTGAAGTCCGCCAACCCGCACTTGTCCAGCATGGACAAGTGCGGGTAAAATAACAAACAAATATATTCAAAATATTTTCATATTTATAATAATAGTATGGTATATAGATTTAAGACCAAGCGAAATTGTAGGTGTTGCATAGACATAATATCTGATATTTGTTGGTTAAAATTGTAATGCAGTGTACAAGCGCTTTGCTAAAAAATTTTTTAATAAATAAAATGTCTATAAATACAATCGATTAAGACACAACGAATGCGAAAGTAATTTCATAATCAATAATATCTATTTCAGATACCACAGATTATCAAGAAGAGATGAACTATGGAGAAAACTTTGATTTTTCTAACCACTACAACACAGAGCCAATGGAATATGAGAACGATTTACCTGATTTATATCAAAATAAAATTATTCTAGGGTCTAAACCATGTAGTGAGTCACCTTCACCCTCAGAATACGATTCTGTGCCAACAATTCGAGAATGTTCCATAGTTTTGCAAGATTTTGGTCCCATTTTAGACAATAGTCCCTATTGTTCTTCATGCCAAACGTTATTTCCAACAGAAAACGCTTTAGATTCTCATAAAATGACCACCCATTCTTTCTTGGTAGCGGTGAGCAATAACAAAGCTATTAAAAGTACAAGTAAAAGTTCTATTTCTGCTATCAAGTTCGCTTCTACTGCTCCTAAAGGTGTTGTATGCAATCATTGCAACGAGATATTCCCCGATGAAATTGCTCTGATAAAACACTCGTACGAGTTATTACCCGAAAAATTTGAGGATGATACTGAAGTTTTGTTGACGAATGATGAAAAGAGCGATTTTTCGACCGCCACTTACATATCTTGCGAAATTTGCTCTTGCCTTTTCAAGTTGAAAGGCCATTATTTGGGGCACATGAAAAAGTTTCACGGCGTAGACCATGACACGCTGCCAAATTACGCCGTCACTAATTTTCAATGTCGTTTTTGTCCGGTTGTTGTGACAAACAGTAAGAGATACAATGGCCATATTTACTACACCCATAAGAAACTTTATACGAAAAAAATTAAAAAATATAATTCCGATCAGTTCAAATGTGATCCCTGCAACATCACTTTTCCCACAGCATATTCCGAAAAAATTCACGTTGCCCTAAATCATCCCAATATTCCGAAAAGTAAAGTAAACACTGTGTCATTGGGAATGAAAGAGACTAAAATAAAGTTACCTGGTGCATTTCGACCGAATTACCAGAGACCTTTTGCCAAGTCGACTTTGTTTAGTTGCGATAAATGCCAAATTCACTTCGTGTCTTGTCTAGTTGCTGTGGAGCACTCGAAAAGGTGCGTTCTGACGAAAGGGGATTGGAAATGCAAAAAGTGCCGACGCAGTTTCAAAATGACGGACCGCGATGCTCATTTAAAACAACATGAAGTGTCAGATAGATTGAAAGTGATCAAAATTCGGGAAGGCATTTTGGACAGGATAATATGTAGATGTTTGTCGTGTCAAGTTTGTTTCGACGAAAGGAATATGTTGAAATATCACTCGTTCGGGTGCTCTACAGACAATAATTATGTCTATTGCTCGGTGTGCCAAATACGGATACACGAGCACGCGGTTAAGAAACACAATCGTATTCACAACGAACTTGGTCCTGACGTTTACTTCGTCATAATAGATTTTATTTTCAACGACGAATCGACGAATAAAAAACCTAAAGCTATACCTGAAGAGTCTGCAGTGAGTAAAAGAAAGGAAAAAGCTTTCTTCTACTTTCACTGTCCAAGTTGCAAACTCTGTATGAAGATTAATCGACTATCCGACCACCATCGTACTGGAAAGTGTAACAAGTCCTTAGCAAAGTGCCTTTGTAAGATGTGCGGTCTCCGATTTTCAGTGAAAGGCTACAAATCTCACAAGGAAGCCCATAAACGTGTTCCGAATTTAAAATTATGCGACATGTTTTTCCGAAACACACAGACTGACGAAAAAATTGACCCTCCCTTCCCAACTTTTAAAAAGTGTAAAAAATGTAAAGTGTGTTTCTTTAGCTCAGTTGCGTTAAGAAGTCACATCTGTCATGAAGAAGAGGTTAAAATTTGCGATTATTGTGGCGAGAAACTCAGTGATTTGGCATACAAACTTCACGTTCCGTTCCACGAATATCGAAACCAAGAAAAATTGGAAAATGAACTGATAAAAAAGTATGAATCTCTGAAAACTATTTGGAACATCCTCTACCTGTGCGTCACCTGTGACACTGTCCTAGACAGCTACGACGATGTAGTCGAACATTCCCAAGACCATTTCTGCAACATGGAAAATTATAACGTAACAATAAATCACTGTGATATTTGCGATTTAAATTTCATGGGTAAAAGTTACGAACGACATGAGAATTTGCACTTAGCGGGCAATATTTCTAAGAGCGCGTTCGAAATCATCAAATATAATTATGAAACGCTACTATCAGATAAATGGTTAGACATCTTCACAAAACTAGTGCCTGAACAAGTTGATCAGATTTTGAAGAAAAGTATTTATAAAGACACTAGAAGTGTTAGGATGACGGTGTTCGATCAAAAGAATTCCGGATTCTCGTTATATCAGTGTGGTGTGTGCAACGTCATGGTGGAAAATAACAAAATCATCCATCACATACAGGATCGTAATAATTGTCTTAAAATCACTAATTTCTCTTGCAATTTGTGTCAATTTAAATTTGATTCAAAAACTGCTCTAAAATCTCATCAAATTCTTCACGAAAACCTACAAATTGGTACGAGGGCTTTCAAAATTATATCTTTCAATAACGAAAAAGATGTTTACGTGAACGATTCGTTGAAGTCTGTCATGAATCCTGAAGCGTTGAAATTCATTAGGTGTCAGCATTGCGGGAAACTAATAAATAAAGTGAAATATAATAAACACATGCACAACCACAGATATTCAGACAAGAAAAAACATGAAAAGAAAAAGATACAGCCAAAGTTTGTAGTGCGGCCGAAGTTTAAGAACGCCGGAATCTCTTCGCATACTTTTTACAAGTGCAAATTGTGTGGCGTGTGTGTTTTCAAGCAAAACATCAAAATACATTTTTGTAGCAAGAAGAATCAAAAGAAACAGTGTAATAAGTGCCTTCTCTGGTTTAGAGCAAGTAACATCCAAAAACATTACATGTATCACGAAAAATATAAGTTTACGAAGGGTGTAAATGTTGTTAGTTTTAAAAAAGGCGTAATAGAAAGTGATCGCGCGCAAGGCAAGATGGTGGTCTATCAGTGCAAAGATTGCAAAATATGTCTGCATTGGAAACATAATATCCCAAGACACAAGTGTGTCAGCTCTGGATATTTCAAAGAGTGCAGCTTGTGCGAAGTTTCCTTCCATTGTTCTCATTTTTACATTCATCAACAGTTACATGACACTAAATCGTTTTCAAAGAAAAATTTGACCATCGCAAAGTTTACGCCTATGAGTAAAATTAAAAATGTAACGAAACCTTTAGTCCCCGTTAAGTTTAAGAATAACGAAGCGACTTGGTTTTTGAAGAAGAAGAGTTTTAAAACAAAAATTGTTCCTAAGGCAAACAATATGAGAAATTTGACAGATGGAGGGAAAAGTGTTAATTACGAACTTACTTCCAAAACTTACTTTAAACGTTTAGCTGGTCGGTTCTTTAAATGTGGAATATGCAAATTACTTTTCCTAACCGGCTCTGCTTTGGTTAAACATACAAAGTGTTGTGATGAAGATCGCGATAGTAGTAAGTGTGATTGCGGCTTAGTTTTTCATTCATCTGCACTACAGTTGCATAAGAAATGGCAACGATGTGGACAATCAGGAAGAACCAAATATTTTATCGTAACATTGATTTCTGAAAATATAGTCGATTTTGATCTTATAAAGTGTCTGTACACGTGTCGGCAGTGCGGCATATACTATTTATCTCTAGACACTGTTTTGAAACATATCGAAGATAATCACCTTACAGTACGAAGTTTGGTCAAGTGCGAACAGTGTGATCTTCCTTTCACAACAATAAGCAACACTAAACATAATAGGATCCATCACAAAACACACAATTGGTCTCTGTCTGATTTAAATGTTTTTGAAGTGAAGTTCCTAACTGTGGCCCAAGTTATGAATGATTTTCCAGAAGATAGTATATGTGACGAAAGTTTTGCATCGACTGCTAACGATTCCAGCTTAGAAAGGAAATCAGTCAAAAGAAAACTCGTCGAAAAACCAGCTGTGGTTAATAAAGTCTCGAAAATAGAACCCAGAACTGAAGTAGAAGATAATGAAACAACTCTCCAAAACAGACTCTGTATACCCCTTGGTACCTGCGATCTGACGAACATATATAAATGTGATATCTGCGATTTAAGTTTCTTGCATAAAAAGACTCTGGCAACACATTACAGTGTGGGCCGACATAAAGAATATAGAATAACCTGCAAATGTGGTCTTAAATTTACTCTGAAATCGCTGAAACGCCATTTGAAAGTACCCACCGGCTTACGATTGAATGAAATAGAAAAACTAACTACATCAATCAGGAAAGATGAGCTAAATGAAAGCCAAAATAGTGAAGTGACAGTGGAAACTGATAACACGTTAAAACTATTCAAATGTAGTGAATGTGACGTGTATTTCTTAACACATGAAGTGTGTCAGGATCATATATCGAACCATCAAGTTTTAGACCCCACGGAATATATAGCGTGTAAAATATGTGAGCTACAATTCCTTTGCGAATACCTCGGTGCTCACATGAGGACACATAGAGACCAAACTTTTAACATTGAGAAATTAATGGTAACGGAATTTCAGCCAGATAAACAAACATTGGATACGTATCGAGCGGTTGACAGACTAAAATCTAAAGCAGTGAGCACAACGACGCACTTTGATACTGAAGATGAGAAAAGTGAAAGTTTAGACTCAAGTAACACGGCTAGGTGATGAGTAGACCATGAAAAGACTACAATCTGATTGAAAAGGTGTTAATAAAAAAAATTAAAAACGTGGTGCCACGTAAATTGACGTAATTGCGTTAATCTCTTGTATGAACGTGATAGTTTTATTTAATGAGCGATTATCCCCAATAAAAATGTTACCAAGTTTATTTAAGCCGCGGTGACACTCTCAAAGTCTGCTTTGACAAAATAGCTTTGAGAAAGTAGCTTAAATCAAAGTTTACTTGGATCCTTGTTGACACGCTCAATGTCTGCTTTTACAAAAAGCTTTGAAACGAAGTTCTCTTTGATAAAGTCTACTTGGATTGAACGCCAACGTCAAAGTTCGCTGTGATTGATCGTTTACACGATCAAAGTAGTCATCAAAACTACTGTAACTCTTTTTTAATACTTAAAGGACTTTTAACGGCCCAAAATATATTTTCATTTAAAGTTTTAAACTAGGTGAATTTGAACGAATCCGTCTACATTCTCGGTAATGGGAAAGTAATATTGATATTTGAAGTTCTTTTCGTTGGGATAATGAACATCAGCTAGTTTAAAAAAATTAAAAGGCTGTGTGGTCTAAAGTCTTTGCCTTCGTGATTATAATATATAATATGCGGTAAATAAAATAAAAGTCAATTTATGGAATAAGTTTCCTTACTATATTTTTGAAATTATGCCTAATTAACATTTATATTTTGCAGTTAAAATTTTTATAATGTAATTTAAAAATGATGAATTTTCTAATTAAATCATCGTTTAAATTTTAATAATAATTTGTATACAAATACTCGAAATGATTGCTTGACAAGTTGTAGACAGGTATTACCCCTTTTTTTTATAATAATTTTTAATGCTTTAAGTGCACCGTATGGTGTTTTTTTTAAATTAATTTAAGTTTACGATTTTCGTAGTTTTGTTCTGTTTTTTTTTGTATTGTAACAATAATATAGATCTAAGTATAGCCTGTGAATATTGCATTTGAATAAATACTATGTTGATTTTTATAACATTTGTTTTTTTGTCATTTGTTATGGTATTTGCTAAAAAACTTTTCATTCTAAGGGATATTTTTTCCTTTAGGTAAAATCTATGCATTATAAAGAATCATTATAATCGGTTCACACGAATTTATTTACTGCCTCCTTTTTTAAGATGGTAAAAAAGAAATAAAACGAACTTAATATAAAATACACTTAATAAAAACTTTTTAACAAAAAAATAAAAACCGACTTCAAACAAAAGCACTAAAAAGTAAAAAATAACTGGTTGGTAGTTTTCATTTACTATACATACCTAATCAAATATTTTCGAAGTCGGTGTGCTTTGCTTTGTATGGGCTGGTACCGATTTCGAAAATATTTGATTAGGTATGTATTTAATAGGTAGGCTTTAATTACTTAGCTAAAGCACACCGACTTTTTGTGATGCGGTCACCGACTTTTTGTGATACGGTCACCGTCACAAACAGACATACAAAATTTTTAAAAACTATAGATTCAGAGCCTCTGTATTGATAATAATGTCTATTTCAATAAGATTTTCCCAAAAATATTAAATGTACAGATTCGGCTTAAATACAATTTTATTTATATGTATAGATCTTTATAATATTACTAGCGACTCACCCTCGCTTCGCTCGGGTTTGTCCCTAGCTTGGTTCCCCATACAATCTTTCATCCCCATTTTCACCCCCATAAAGGGATGATTTCCGGGTTAAAAAGTATCCTATGTCCTTCCCAGGATCTCAAACTATCTTCTTACTAAATTGCATCTAAATCGGTTCAGTTGATCCAGAGATTACCCCATACAACGTCACAAACTCACAAACAATATCACAAACTTTACCTCTTTATACTATTAGTATAGATATAGTCTCTAAGCGGTTGATGGTCATAAACAAATAACTATCCCTAGATACTTAGTCTGTGTAGTGTGTCATTGACTTTCAATTTTGACAGAATTAAATTCGCGCCTTTTTCTCGTAAAACGTCAAAATAAGTTTGCTAACTAACACTTGTGATATTCGTGTTTTGTTCAATGTTAATTGTTAACACGTTCCGGGACACTTAAATTTTTTTTAGTCTCACGATATGACATTCAAAATTTCCATACATTCGAACATATCGTCCATTGCCGTATTGCCAATTTACATTATTTTTTAGTTTTGCGATAAGGCAATTACGGTCATAGACGTTAACGCCTATAGGCGGACCGTCATATTATGAATAGTTATGTACCTACAATGTACCATGACAGTTCGGCTAGGGACGGTGCCGCCAAAAGACGGTGTGTTATATCATATAGATCTGAAAAGGTGTATTAGTGTGTAAACTTCTAAAAAAAATCTTCAAATTTAATACTTATAAGTTTATTGATCACAGTATGTTTTTCTAAATTCTTAAACAATATGTACCTTAAATTCTTGTTTAGTCTTATTTAGTATAAAGTAAAGAAATATATTTGAAAACAGGAGAAACTATTTGTGTGTGTTAGAACTAAGAGTTAAGTGCCATTTTTCGAAACATTATATGTATATCATCAAGTTTCGTAAGACTTCTTATCAACCTGTCTCTGTTCTCTACATATCCGTATTTCTTGTCACTATTCTTTATTCATTTTTTGAATAAAAAGAAAGAGTTCCATGGCGCAACATCTAACATGTGAAAGAGTACTTTTTTGTACCATCTTATTCTTTTTCTCGGACACGAATAGTAAGAGATCATTTGATCGGCACGATCAATTCGTGGAGATGTAGAGGAGAGATTTGGGTATATCTGTTCGGTTCGATGGTGAAGATAAGATGATTCATAGGCATGGGAATGTAGGTGAGGTTCCTAAGAGCCCATTACATCATCTTCTTCACGGTATACTATCACAGCTTGGTCATCGCAAGACTTTTCACCTATTTCCTCTTCTGTTACCGGGTTGTCATCATTCAAACTAGAATCATCCAACCGGCTTGGACGACATCTGCAAAATATAATACGTAAATACTTATAATACAAACAGTTAGTAGGTAGCTAAAATAGCAGGTAAATATCATTCGAATAAAGTATTTTATTGTCACTTGTATAACATATTTCTATCCCTACCTAAATAAAAACAACACTATAGGACAACACAACACATTTTCCATCAGATTTATATCATATTATAGTATAAATAAACTTTATTTACCTTGCATTTGTTGACAAGAATCACTAAACACGTACAACATAGCAAAGATTAACAGGCAGTGCGCGCGCTGTGACACTGAATCCCGAAATCACTGTACTTGTATGACTGAGTTTACGCCTCTCGACGGTGTACCTGTATTTGTTGGGTGTGAAACCACTGCGTATATGCGTGTGGAAAAAGTACTCGAATAGAGTTTACCGTGACAGCTATCACCGAACGGAGGCATGTGATATGACACTAGATCACGTGCTTCCTAGTAATGATAGGGATAACCAACGGCCATCGACGCTTTGTCAGATATAATAAAATAAAAGTAGCCGCCCATAGCCCTACTGTCACATAACACGATGCCAATTTAACGTCGAGAGGCGGTCTGTCCCGAAAAGTGTTAAGTTATTTAAAAATAATTAAATAATAATTATGGCGAGAACTAAAGCGTCAGTAGGCGCTAAAGGTATGTGATATGTCGGTAAACTGACATCAGAAATTGTATTTTGCTTAAAAAATTGTTAAATGATCATCCCATTATATATACTTACCTAATTTAAACGTACAAAATTAGAAAACTTAACCTACTTACTACTTTATTAAGTTCTGGATAAATTTATCTTTTTAAAATATTCAATGCTTTATATAAGTCAACCAATCAAAGTTGCCAAAATACATTTCAGTTTATTGTATAGTTTTAAATATTTAATGAATTTACATTAAAATATAATGGAACATGAACTATTAATTGTTTTAAATTTAGTATCTTCTGGCAAGAGTAGCAAAGCTCGGTGTAGTGTGGCTCCACCCTCAAGCAGTGCAGGGCCTTCAGGTATTCAACTAATCTCTTTCTTAAATACACTTTTTGCAAATACCATAATTGAATTAGATTAAAAATTGAAGTTAAATGTTTGTTTACAGTTTAAGTTTTGTGATAAATTAATGAAAAAAGACTTTAGAATACAAGAAGTTTTTAGAATTAAGTATATGTAGTTCATATTTAATTTAAAATATTTATTTTTTATAGGTAGTGATAAATCATCCAAAAATTACTCAGGTGGTAACCCTGTGTGTCCTCGAGAAACACCAAAATGGCAGAAACCTATCACCAATTTTTTCATAAACAATACTAAGGCTGATGAAGATGAGGCTCAAGGTAATTATCATCATGATTTCTTGGTTTTTATTTAAAATATTAAATCTACTTCTAAGAATGCTGTTTTGGCACAATTTGCTTCGCCAATGTCGCTTAGATTGGAGAAGATATATTACTTTACCACTTTAATGCAGTCTCAGGTCATATATTAACATTCCTTATTAGTGTAATATTATATGTTAATATATTTTACAGCGAGCAGTTCAAAACCAAAGTCTAAAAAGAATGTCATCCATTCTGATGATGAAAATGAAATCGAAACAGAAATTGACAAACCAAAAAACCAAGAGTTAGATGAGAGTATCGAGTTGGAACCGTTAAAAGGCGAGGAATGTCATAAAATACAAGAATATTATACAACAAAAGATAAAAAAAAAGGTAAAGGAAAGAAAAGCAATAAAGAGAATATTGAGGTTCGAAGAAATTCTGTTAAAAGAGACTTAGAAACTGTTATTTTTGGTGAAGAAAGTGAACATGTTAGCAAGAAAGCGAAAGTAGCTTAAAGCAGGTTCGATGTCCAGTTGATTCAAAATATTTTATTCAGAATTAAATTATTAAATTTGTTTACTGAATGTCATGAGTCTACTACCAGTTTGGAAAGAAGTCTCAGACCTCAGAAGAACTGGCGAAAGCAACTCAGAGGGACTAGAATTATTTTTAATGATGATGATTGAGGAACTTTTTTGTATTTGTAAGTTATGTTGTTAGTTAGTTTTTGATCTATACATATAATAAAATTCTAACTAAGTTGAATCTGTATATTAAATATTTTTTTGAAAAAATCTTATTGAAATAGACATCATTATTGATACAGAAGCCGAATCTATTGTTTTTAGATTTTCTGTCTGTCTGTCTGGCTGGGAACGGATCACGAGAAAACCGCTGGACAGATTTTGATGAGGTATGGTGATAGCTGGGTATCTGGGTCAACATAAAGTATACTTTTTACTGTGGGAAAATATCTCATCTCTGAGAAATCTATACTAACTGTTAAAACGCAACTACGGATGAACCCAAGACGAGCAAGGGTGAGTCGCTAGTTAAATGTATTTATTTCTTGATTTCTTTGTTTTAGTTTGAAGGAAATATAGTTTAAATCAAAAGCAGTAATTTAAAATTTGCATTAAAATGTACAAATGATGTAAATTTTTGTGACTTTATTCGGATTTTTGTTTGAGAAGTTTTTCTGATTTTTTTAATTTTGTTACTGCGTTACCAAATATATGTATGTATTTAGAATTAAGATGTTGTAAAATAAAAATATTTTAAGTTACTATGTAGTTTTTTTATTGAATCTATCGTTTTTAAAATTTTTGTTTGTCTGTCTGTTTGTTACCGCATCACAAAAAAACTACTGGATAGCTGACACTGATACTGTGATAGCTGGTCATCCGAGTCAACATATAGGATACTTTTTACCGCGGGAAAATATCTCGTTTATAAGAAAAAATACAACGTAAGAGTAAAACTACAATGTAAGATTATACTAATATGTAAAATCTAAGACTTTGGTTTTTGGTCATCTGAACGCGGGCGGAGCCGTGGGCAATGCTAGTCAAGAAATATGGCGTAGAAGCAGCATGATGGCATGACAGCGTCATGCTGTTTGCCGTCACGGCATGCGAGCCGGTTTTACTGTCGAGGTGCGCCAATAGATATTCCACATCGAAAACCATCTGTCTGTATAAAAAACTAAACTCGAATAAGCGCTGCCAACTATATTTGCTATTTATTCCATCTGTGCTAGTATACACATATCTGTATAAATATTATAAATGTGAAAGTTTGTGAGTATGTTTGTTACTCTTTCACGCCAGAACGGCTGAACGGATCTGGATAAAATTTGGCACAGAGATAGATTATAGTCTGGAATAACACATAGGCTACTTTTTATCCCGGAAAAATATACGGTTCCCGTGGGATAGGTTTATCTTTGTCCACTAGTTAACTTAAACACATTACCTTCCTTCCGGAGCAGTCGGGTAAAAAATGAAACAACACATCGAGTATACAGTTTATTACGACAATACTATCGTTACAATATTATTAAAAAATCCAAAATCTCTACAAAAATTTCGCTTACATTTCTACAAATAGAGAAGCGGAATTCCAAAAAACATTATTGACAATGGCTTTGCTTGGGGAAAAATAAATAAAAATTTAAATCTAATTTAATAGAAAATAGCTCTTTCAATTTGAATGTGTGTTTGTCTTTCATACTATTTACTACATATCTATACATATAAAATTGAAGAGTCTGTGTATAAGGTTAAAATAACAGCTTTGTACTAAATGCAAACGAAATTATACACGGTACTTACAAGAAAAAAAAACAATTTGAAATGTTTGTCTGTGTGTTTGTTCCGGCTAATCCCCGAAACGGTTAGACCGATTTGGACTGGACTTTCACTGGCAGATAGCTGGTGTTATAAGAAGTAACTTAGGCTATTTTCATTTTAGAAATTAGAGTTCCGCTCAAAATAATTAACTAAAGTCATCGCCGAGCTCACTATGTTTGTCCGGGCAAATCTCAGAAACTACTGAACGGATTTTCATACGGTTTTCACCAACAGAAGGAGGGAGTAATACAAAAATAAGCTACTGACTCATGTCGGTATAAATATATAATATAATAATTTATATTAACAATTTCCTTTATATAATTATTTTACTTATAATTTACTTATACTTATAATTTAAAACTCCTGAGAACTTAATTTATAATATAACCGCGAAGGGAATCTTGGGACGTTAGTTAAATATATTATAAATTGCAAGTAATGTATATTTTTAAACGCCAAAAATTATTTCCAAGAAACGCTTATTACTGCATGCTGTATAGTGTGTAGATATTCACCTATATTTCAACAAATATTTTGTACAGATCAGTGACTATTATTTCGATAAATTAGAAGTACTCAAAACTGTTGTAATTAATATAATTATCGAACATATTGAATGTTGTAGAAGAAAAGATTGAAATAGGCATTCCTCTCTCTCCCTCCTTCTCTCTGTCTGCCTGTCTGTCTCTCTCTAACACACATGCATATTGAAAGAGCAATTGAAAGATGATGATGATCAATCTAAAATCTTTCTTTGAAAAATGAAATTTATTATATTCAATTTTTGCTATAAGTAAGAAAAAAATTGAGCCAAATCATTATTTATCTTTTTTCGCTACCTACATCAAATCAGACATCACAAAGTACATTCTTAAATAATCATTTGAAAATTTCCAAAATCAATTATATTATTTAAATACAAAAAAATATATAATCAAAAAACACATTCAAGACCAAAATCTAAGTCGATATTTTAATTTTCAATACAAATACTGCATAATTATTGTTTTAATAAATCGACCGCCGTCTCTTGGACTATAAAAGTTATTGCAACATATAAATAATTTCAAAAGTGCCACGAGCTGCCATTAACATTAAAAAACGCTATTTAATCTATCGAAAGCTTATATATACAAGTAAAGTGAGAAAATTGTTTTATTTGCCTTGTTTAAAATAAAAAATCAGTCACGAGGACTGCCGACAGAAGTGAAAACTTAAAACTATAAACAAACAGTTGTTATTTTTGGATATTCAAATTCATTGTTTGATCATAAATTAAAATATGTAAATTAAAACTGTTCACATTTATCTGGTGTCGACATCTATCGGCATTCTGAGTGTTAGCGTTGACACGTCACGTGACCATGTCGATGATTAAAATTTATCATATAATGTCACATTATTAGATAGCTTTCGACAGATAAAAAAGCCCCTTGAATAAATAAAATACGAATTAATGCAAAAAATAATTGTATGTGATATTTAAGTTGAAGTACATAATTTAATATTCCATTCTTGTATACAATATATTTTTTAAATATATCAAATTTTTTCATAAAAAATAATTATCGAGGCACAAATGAGTAAAAAACAAGTTAGTTATTAGTATTCAATGTTACACTGACAATTTTAAATTGAAGTTGATAAAAAATCTTATAAAACATTTCTTTTTCCTATTATTATGATATAAAAACCCCAAACAGCTTTTAAAAATTGCGTGATTGCCTCCATACTGTTTTAATGATAAACAATTGTAATTTTTAATTTAAAAAAAAGTAAAATGAAAATATAATTTTATTTCTTGCTTCATCAGTTCTTACTCAATAAATTTCTTTTAAAGCTGATTGACTGTATATCACATACAAAAAAAATATATATCAAAATATAGAAAATGAACATAGAAAAAAATCTATGATATACAAAATCAATAATAATTACATTACATACAAAAAAATTGTATACAAGAATGAAAATAATAATATTTTCAAAAAATTTTAATGTCTATAATACTTACGTCACCTCTACACTAACTACTTATTATTTAATAATTACTGTTAAATTATATTTAAAATATTACCGTTTCTTAACTTTTTTCTTAATTATCAGAAATTAAAAAAAACACCTGTTTTAAAAATAATTTTAAACTTAAAAAGGGCAAGAATATGTCAGCTACAATTCACTTCAAAAATGTTTAAAGAAATTTTTTTTTTGGAAAAAATTGAGGGGAAATTCAGCAAAATTTTTGGGGAAAAATAAAGAGCACGATAATATTCTAAATATTATATATCTTACAATACTTTAAAAACGAAAAATATTCATACTTTATAATAATTAATACCTTTTGGTACATCAGAATTTAAAAATGTATATAAATTTTTTTTATAAAATAAAAATAAATACCTAAAAAAAGTATACATTTTGTCATAAAAATACAACAAACATGTATGATTCATACAATTCAATCTCATTATAACGCCGTAATAGAATCTACGACCTCTGACATACAATGTTCACAAATATTTTATATTGTGTGGTTCAAATTCAAAACCTACATATAAAAGAGAATTATTACTCAGTGATTAATCACGAAATCTCAGAAAATATAAACGTCAAAAACTTGGAAATTGGCAGGTAGATTACTCATTGGGAGTGGGGTTTTTGGAAATTTAACCCCTAAAGGGGGTTAAAAAAGAGGGTTAAAAGAAGGGGTTGGAAGTAGTAGTATAGAAACTATATTTTTTTCTGCATAAAGATCTAATCTTGCTAGTTTTACTAATATTATAAACGCAAAAGTTGGATGAAAGGTTACGTATGTTTGTTACTCTTCCGCGTAAAAACTAGTGAACAAATTTTGATGAAACTTTACAGTAATATAGCTTATACATCAGAGTAACACATAGACTTTAATTTATAAAGATATATGTAGTTATACATAATTGGAGTACGCCATAAAAAAAGCTATCGATTGATTGACAATAAAATTTCAAAGTAACTTACCATCCCACGACATATTTTTAATCGTAAGAGATAAAAAATATATTTATTCTATTATAAAGTACGAATATTCCAGTAATTTAAAGATTTATAAAAAATTGGTTACAAAATGTGTTATAATAGTAATTAATAATTGATTTTTTTTATAAAACCTTACAACTAATCAATTTGGCTGCCATCGTGCGGCGTAGGCTTCAAATTTCGTTGAGTATATTAAAAAAAACCGCATTATTCACTTAAAAAAGCTAAAATTTAAATAATATTTACTTAAAGTACGTGTTTTTTAAAGTTTTTTTTTTTCATTATTATTATGAGTAATGGATGGTGTTATGCTGTTTAAGGTTAATTATTTAATTTTTTCTATTAAATTTTTGTCATTTTTTGTTTGCATAACATCATCCATTTCTCACTAAAAATTATGATAGAAGTAATTCAAAAATTTTGAAAATAAAAAAATTGAAGTACAAATTGTTATAAAAACTAATAACTATTAGTGAGCGTACAATTAGAATTTCAATTTCAACAAAAAAAAAGTCACAAAATGGAATTTTTATATAAACTATGTATATGAATAATGTCTCATTAATAAACGTATTTATTTTCCTTTTTTTTTCAACAATAAATTTTTTTTAATTTTGTTGTGCAAATGAACAAAATGACACATTATTTTTTTTTTTTTATATGAAGTCCAAGACACGGATAAAAAACTTAAGTACGTAGTGATTACCGATTATTATTAAAAAAATATGTTTATTAATAAAACAGTGCGCGTGCTGGCGATACAATAATAAATAATAATAATCACTTCCAATTCGAACACCATGTATTTTAATTGCTTCTGAAAAAGAAAAAAACATGACAATATTTTAAAATCACCAACAATAATCATACTTAAAAAAAATTAAAAATAATCTTAAAAACTTCACACGGCAATGCACAGCCCGTTATTTAATATTATTAATAAAAATCGATATTATTAGTTATATCGATTACACAATATACATACATATTACATACAAATAAACAGACATACATGGTCAAACACACAACCCTCCTTGGTTTAGCCGCAGTCGGGTAATAATACACAATAATTATAATACTTGATTGGAAAACGCGGGTTTAAATCCTGAGTCTCGCACCTCTGATATTCTTATGTATAATTATTCCTAACACGATCACCACTTGTCTTACGGTGAAGGAGAACATCGTGAGGAAACCTGCATGTCTGAATCTGTTTTTGAAAGACACATGAAGTGCTCCACCACATAATTGTTCAATGTGGTGGATTATTACCAGATCCCACACCTGTCGAGGCCCCCCAGACACCAGTAATGGTACGTTTGAAAATGGCTAAATTATAGTTTACGAAAACCTAAATAGTTATCAAAAAACATATTCCCTACCAATTCCCCCAACCAACGTTTAGACTTCTCCTTGTACAGTGTACGGACTTTGAGTGTATAAAGGAATAGAGAGTGCAATCATACGCAGATAAAATGCACTCTCTATTTTTCTTTTACTCTCACATGAGAGGAGACGATACTTCCGACACTCGCGTTGAGAGATCAGGCGCAGGACCGACGCGACACGTGCTCTGCCAACTTCTCAACTCTTGACTATTATTATTAAGAATATCTTAACAGACAGACTCAAGAACTGAACTCCTCCCAACTCAGTCCAGCCACTACACCACGGGGCACACAGCCCCACAACACCAACACTCACCAGACACTGTCGGCGGGGCTCTGGAACTCGGCGAGCGCGTGCACGGGGCTCGGTTGTTTCTTCTGGCTGCCGCGGCGCACCTTCGCGCGCACCTCCTCGGGCTTCTCGGGACGGATCAGGGGCTTCTTCTCCGGTGCTTTCATACGCCACACAACTATCGGCGACTGGAATATGGCGATTTGGATGTGTTATTGTTTATTTTTTAATTTAATAAAAAAAAATGTTTTTTTTGTGGGAAAAATTATGTAAATTAAAAAAACATTTGCTAATTGTTGATTTGAGTTCAATAAATAAATGTTAACGAGCGAAAAAAAACTAGATAGAAAAAACATAAAATTATTAAAGTCTAGACTCTAGATCATTTACGTATAAAAAAGTATAGGAAAATTTGATCTATAAATATATACATTAAAAAAATATATAGAAAAATACACATAACATTGACAAATTGTTAATTTAAGATTAGATCACAAATTATTAATGCAATTGAAGTAAATGAAGGAAAATGAGTTATAGAAAAAAATAGTCTAATGAAAAAAAAAAGAAAAACAACAATGACTAATCATTCATTTCAGTCTATATAATAGATTAGTTAAAAGTACTGTAGTCTTAAACTATATTTAACCCATATTCTTACAAAAAAAAAAAACTGTTTCAGTTTTTGTACTATTTCAATCCCACAACTTGCCTTGAGTTCTAGAAACCCGAATCAGTAATATAATAGTAATACGAACATAAGCATACATCAATATTTACAATGTAACAATAACATCAAAATGTATAACAGATAAAAATATTTATATACATAATAGAAATGATGAAAGTTGAATTTTTTTTTACTAAAACATCACACCACATTGTCCATTTGAGGTAAATTGTAATTTAGAAAAACAGATAAAAAAGAAATAATTAGCATAAAAGTGAATATTTTTTAACACACTGTGATGTACTTGTGTGCAATTATTACAAAAACCCAAAACATTCACATGAGCTTTTTCATATCAAAGTAAAATATTAAAATAAAATATAAGCACCAAAAGAAAAAAAAGAAGATCGAAACGGCAAATTCCAAAGAAAAAAAAGTTTTTCGCAACATATTTTAGTAAAAAAAATGGAAAAAATAAAAAAAAGCATAAAAACATTATCTGTGCTCAGAAAGCTTCCAACCCAAAAATAAAACGCCAAAAATGCAGTGCATATAAAAAAAATTGTGACGTCATGCAAGAAATAATAGAAGAACAATACATAAACCGTCACGTTCTCTACCACTTACGTAATTATTCTGTCCAGCGAGAAAATAAAGCGCAGATTAAAAAATATATAAACTAATCATAATATACTCGTTTTATAATGCGAAATATTTATATTTCTATACATATAATAAAATTCTAACTGTCGAATCTGCACATTGGAAAATCTTATTGAAATAGTCATTATTATCGATACAGAGGCCGAATCTATAGTTTTTAGAATTTTTGTCTGTCTGTGACCGCATTAAGAAAAAACCAGGAGGGATTTTTAATGAAATTCGGTATGATGATAGCTGGTTATCCGGATCAATATATAGAATACTTTTTACAGCGGGAAAATATCTCATCTCTGAGAAATCTATACAAAACGTTAAAACGTAAGTAGGGACGAACCCTAACGGAGCGAGATTTTGGAATAAATTTGCATTATGAAATTCAATGAATTATTTAATTTTATTACTAAGTATTTTATTACTCTTTATTAGTAAGTTTTACATTTACCACATTGTCTGAACAAATTTTGATGAAATTTTCATATACCTACATAAATACTAGTTCGTAATTATTATTATTAAATGGGGGTCTTTCGTAAGAAATGTCGAGTAAATTTCGTGAAAGAGGATCCCCTCCTAAAAGTCTTTATATCAATCATATTTGTTTTATGCCTTTCATTATGTAAATAATAATATTAATAATAAATATATCTAGTTTTTTTTTTGAAAATTCGACCGTAATTTATTAACTTTTTCTAAATAAAAACACAAACAAACCAAATTTTTAGCCGAACATATTAATAAATTATTCAGCTCCTATAAGCAAAGTTTATAAACAAACTACGAGAGCGCATCCGCGAGCATAAGCATGTCAATAAACGTTTGAAGAAGCTCACACTTCCCCGTACAAGCAATATGGTTAAAAATGGATACAAAGTTTTTTCTTCACATATCTTAACAATGTATATATAATATGTATGTATAATTCTTCAGTACGTGTGTATGTCACTGAACTCCACTTAAACGGCTGGACCGATTTTGATGATATTTTTTGTATATTTGTCTCATAGTATTTGGTTTAAAGTCGAGAAGAATTATGCCATTCAAACAAAAACCAATGATTCGGTCAGAACATAATCTTTCACTCCCGCTATTTAATATATATATATATATATATATATATATATATATATATATATATATATATATATATCATTTTGTATTATAACGAAAAAAAAAAGATTATTTAGAACGACCTTTTTCTCATCTACGATCATATCTCATGAATGCTCCTAAAAGCAAATTTATTTTTAGCTTAAAAAAGTAACATCTTGGCATTAATTAAGCATTTAAATAATGTCCTACAATATATAAACCTATTACTGAATAAAATAATTAATAATAATCGTAATCATCAATAAACTTTTTTCTTATGTGACAATAAATAGGTACTAAATTATAAATAAATCTCCTTTTTTTAAAAAAAATCATTTCTCAACAAACATCAACACAAACCACTTTAAAGAGAAACTTTTTTTATAAAATTTCAATTTTATTATTATTTTTGTATTTCAATACAAAGTGTAATTCAAAGTATGGGAGTGTTCATCACTTAGAAAAAATAGCAAAAATAATATCTTATTTTTCAATTCAGACATAAAAAAGTAATTATTTACTTCTCTAAAACAATACAAATCTAAAATCAAGATTTGAAAAATAATACTTTCTTAGATTTTAAAAATCTTAAAAAAAGCTTGCATCTGTTATTCTTGTCCATTCAAACTCTGTATCTCTAATAACCATTTCTTTCAACCTCTGACATACAAAAAAAAAACTAAAGAAAATAATCAAAACTCCTCAACCTAAAACACTTTAACCTAAAAAACACAAAAAATCTCAAAAAAAAAAACAAAAATCTCAAAAAATCACAAAAAACCAACTCACCGCTATAGTTCCCTGCCTTGTGTACTTCGTAGAGGCGACGTATGAAGCCTTCACAGTTAGGACGACTGCATTCATTAGATTTTTGGCAGCTTGTATGAGAGATGTCGCACTGTCCAGCTTTTGGGGGAGAAAAAACACAAACAAATATACAAGAATAACCTAGTTATTACCCTTTTCAAAAAAACTATTTTTTCGGTTTTTTAGCTGATTTATTTTGATTTTTGGTTCCCCACGTTTCGAATGTTTAAAAGAAATCCACGAAAAAACCCGAAAAGATAGTTTCATTTAAAATATCAAATCTGTATAACTATTATAAATGAGAATGTTTGTGAGTATGGATGTTTGTTACTCTTTCACGCCAGAACGGCTAAACGGGTCTGGATGAATTTGGTGCAGAGAGTGCAGAGATAGGTTATAGTCTGGAATAACACATAGGCTACTTTTTATCCCGGAAAAATAAACGGTTCCCGAGGGATAGGTTTGATTTTGTATTCCTAGAGGCGAACCCGAGCGAAGCGAGGGTGAGCCGCTAGTAAAACATAAATCTAAGTATTAGTTAATATCCGCGACTCTGCTCGCACGGTAAGAAGTAGCCTACATGTTAGGTAATCCACAATATAATCTATCTTGATTTCGAATTTCATTTAAATCCGTCGTGCCGTAACAGCGTAATGAATGACAAATAAACACATTCACAAACCCCACTAATAGCATTATTAGAATACTAAAAAACATTTTTTATAACGAGTATGTTAAATAGTTTCATTGTTATTCAGCACGTTTCTTTCACGTAACCTCATAGCTGAAAGTCAGTGCCGGCCCTAGCCTTTGATAAGGGTAGAGCGAGATTGTCTTTCACCTTTAACGCTTTCACTATACATAAAGTATTCTTTGGTTTTATATTAAATAAATAATAATTACCAATTTTTTCAAATCAACTTGCATGACATGCAAGATGCAATCGACAGAAATCTACAGATTTTCAGAAAACTGACCACACTAGCAACACTGCTCTACGTCCTTCAAAAGGCGTCATCAAATTTTATTTTTTGCTGAAAATTGTTCTTCGCATTTGATTTTTTGGTGTCCTGCGCTACATGGCGTCTAGAGCGACAGCTCCTCTCGCTCTACCCTTAGACCAACACTACTTATAGTCCATCTGTGTACTTTTCATCCAAATCCGTCCAGCCGTTGATCGCAAAGAGAAAAAAAAACGTGTGTGTTGTGTACTTATGTACGCACGTAAGAAGTTATACTTCTTTGGCGTCACAGAACAAAAATAGCTAAAGATTTCATCCCGTATGTCACAACTCTCTGTTTGTAAAAGGAATGCAGCTAACTTCATCAAGTCGCTTTACGGCTGTCGGTGTGCGCGCGCATCGTAAAAATTTTACTCTCATAATTTTTTCCAAAGGTCCCAAAAGAAGTATAACTTCAACAAACAAACTCACAAACATACAAACTTTCCCAACAATAGTCCATTCTACTCACCCCACTAACAATCAGCTCTCCCGATATATTTTGCACATCTGCTTTCACTTTGCTTGTTATCTGTATTTGATGGCAATACAGCGCTATGCGTTGGAGGTAAGCCAGTAGGTCTTGCTTTGTTGAAGACTCTGGGCACTAAAGAAGAAAAAAAAATAGTATATATATTAGGGTGGAGCGAAAAAAATTTTTTTTTTCTTAGCTTGGGGGTAGAAGTTGTAGCTTATAAAAACAAAATTTCTGTGAAAGTTGGGTAGAAAATGACTATATTCGTCAATTCTTAAATGTTTTCAAATATGATTAGTCGATAAAAAAACTTCCAGTCAAACCAAAAATTTAAATTAATAATTTATTTTAAAAATCATTGGGCCACCTCAGTGTTAAATAAAAAAACATTTATTTTTTTCAAAAAAATGTATTTCTTTCAAAATAATGGATTTTTTATAAGCTACAAATTCTACCCTTTTTTCGCTCCAATAATACAAAAACATCGCATGGGGCTGTGTCGGGGCACACCACCGTTGGTTCAACGTGAAACGTCTATTTCAGCGAGTCGCTTTTAGTGTTTTTGTTTTTTTTATAAATATTTTACGTATTTGAAAATAAATTAGTAAAGATAGTCAGTCATCTTTGAAGATAGCAACGGAAAGAATATCATATATCATTTGTCAGACAAAAACAACGGTTATTATGGCAACCTAATACAACTTATTTCGTTATAACGTATTTTAAACGTGATTTTAAACACGTTTCACGTCAAAAAAATAGGAAGTGACATGAACAAAGGTGGACTTATGTCTATAAGAGATCTCTTCCAGTATCCCAATAGTGTGAAATAGCGGAATAATTTTAAATGAAATAATCTTTTCAGATTTTGTAGCGGTTGAATTTTATATTTAGGTTCCAGACGTTTCCAATGCTTTCAGAAAACATGTTCACGGGAGAGTCTTTAGCTGTACAGCATTGGTAGTTACATTTAAATTGTCAAATATTTATGTAAATCTAAAAAAGTATTAGCAAGCAAACAAACAAAAAAATATAATATTAATTGGTAATGGTAATATAGATAATATAATATAAACAAAAATATGTATAATGTATATATTTTATAAACACATATAGACGGAACAGATGGCAATAAACTAACATTAAAAAAACATTTTTAAAAACAAGTTTTTATGTCAGATAAATTATGTAGTGTAATAAATTGATGTTTGATTTAATAAAAAGTTATTTTTTTTAGTCATTAATTCGTATTCTTCTTAGCAAATCCTTTCATTTAATATACATATCATGGGGGTGCATAAGAAAACATATTCCGCCATCGTTGGGAGTCCGCCATGTTGGATTTAGCATGACGTTACTTATCTAACCATACATTGTCATCCAAACTAAACTTATATGCAAAACTTTAGATCAATCGGTGGAGGATAACTGATTTAAAATTCAGTTGCAAGGATTGATACGTACAAACATATGTACATACAAACATTACAAGTTAAATAAAAGCTTGTAAAAAAAACTTCGAATTGTTTTCCAAATTTTTAGAGGAAAATACGACTTTATATTATTGAAACGTGTTTATATGGATCTTAATGTACGAGTATATCATCTTATAACTACATCGGTGGTCAAGTGGCTGGCATGTTTTACTGTAGATCCGGAAGTCCCGGGTTCGAGGTTCAAGGTGGGCCAAGTACAGTAACTATACTGTTTTACGGCTATGTGTTGCCTTGTATTTTGTTTTCAAAGTTCGAAACAAATTAAAATGTATGTTTAATGTGTAACTCAAATTCTAAATTCTAAAAAGGGAAAGAAATTAATTAGTCAGTCAGTTAGAGTTTTTGAGTTTATTTAATTTAGTATAATCATCGATCAAACAAGTACTAGATACACAATCAGCGACAAAAAATGTCCTCACCGAATGAGCGCTCATTTTAACATTTGAGCGCACTTTTAATTTTATTTATTTTTTGTTAAAAACAACTTTACGCATTGCATTTAAGGTTTAATTTACATTGTTGTATACTTATTTCAACTAGAACAATTACCTAAACACAATTGGTGTCAGTTTTAAGAGAAATTTTGCATGGGATTGTGTATCTAGTAGTTTTTTGATCGATGACTATAATCCATCCTAGATCTGAACTCACCTGTTCAGCAATTTCTCTAGTTAGTTTGTCCAGTTTAGTTCCAGCTTCAGAAATCTTTTTGGCCGCGTTGATCACATCCATTGTTGTCTTGAGAGGACCACGACCTCTGAACAATCGATAGAAATCAAAATTAGGCCCTTAATGAAAGGAAAATCATTTTTGAGTCTATAAAAAAAGCAAAGTGGAAAAAACATTTTTGGTTCCGCTATTATGGTTAGAATAACAAAACGAAAATATTAATACGATTTTAATAAAGTTAAGTTAAATTTTAAGGATTTGATTTTTAAATCTAAAAACCTTAAAATTTAACTAAATAAGAGTCCAGTCTCAAATTTTCATCAACAATAATGTGTGTAAAGCAAAGTCTAATGAAGTATTCCAAAAAAAAAACAAACTGGAAAATATGAGTCTGACTCGCACCACCGAGGGTTCCGTAGCCAAAACATTAAATTATTATTTATCATATTCATAAATGTTACGTTATAATATAGATAATTTTTAACCTTTGAACCTTTGAAGTATCCGATAGATTTTGATTTACTGGTAAATGTCAAAATACAGCATACAGCATTAATAGCCGAATTCTTGATTGCCTTGATTTAACATTTTGATGCTTTTAAGGTATTGCTTTATCGAATTTGTTTCTAATTTCAACTAGATACAGTCATTATAGACAAAAAAAGACAACAAAAAACCCAAAAAGGTTCCCCCTTTCTTGTACAGGTACGGAAACCTAAGAATTAAAAAAAAAACTCCAACTAGAAACTACCCTCCTGCCCGCCTTACCTTACCTACGTACCTTGTAAAATCTGTCATTTCCAACATAATCATGCACATATGTTTCGCCAGCATTATGATGTCGTTTCCAGCGTCGTCCCACTTGGCCACCTCGTTGTCGAACGTCATCTTCTCGCGTCTGAAGAGTTCTACTTGTTGTAGGATCTTGCGTTTGTCCTCTTCTGTCATTTTGCGCATGGCTTCCTGTTTTTTGGGCGTAAAATTTTGATGGTTAAAAAAAATACAAATGAGTAGCAAAAAAAAAAATTTCTGTAATCAATATAAAGCGGATTATTTTGCATTTTTTTTCAGATATTTTTTCCATTTCTTTAATTTTAGAATTATTAAAAGTTATGGATTATGCTCTAAGTAACGAAAAATATATTTTTTTAATTTTATTCGAAAAATTTACACTTCGTGAATATCTAAATTTTATTTAAAATCACAGAATACCTAACAGTATGAATACAAATAAATAGAATATGTAATTACATAATCAAAAATTACACCAATTTCTGTGAAACTGATATGAAAATCAAGTAAAATATACGTACGTTGTTCAAACATAATATTCTAATATACGTTTTACTAAAAAAATCATCAATAAACTCACCCTAGCATTGGTTATGCCACTGATGTCGGGATACTCGTCCACACCGTGCTCCCCGGTATGGGCACTCGCTGACAAATAATAACAATGATTTAATATTCCTTACCAAATTCAAAATTGGGAGGTACTCAAGTACTTTTAGTATAGAAATTTTCATATGTTTAAAATAAATAAGTTATATTTACCTGAAAGAAAAATTTATATTTTAAGGGAAAAAATCCACCGCTGAGGATGGAATGATTACTGTGATAGTGATCCTGAATTTGTGTTCTTTTAGTAAAAAAAAAGTCTGCGCGGGGATCGAACCCGCCACTTATGTCATAATAAGGAACATTTAACCAATATTATTTCAACCGATATTAATGCAAAAAAATGATTTGTTCTTAAGTGTAACTTCAAGCTACATCCAGAAACAAAAAATAAATAAAAATACTATAAAAAAGTTAGTTGAATTCCAGTAGAAGAATACTTCCATTTTCATATTTCCATTAAAAATCAACAATTTAGCCAGCCTAAATATCCAGGCTTAATAACTTGTACTCACATCGACTCCTAGTCTCCATGGTCATGTCCTCGACGGGTTCGAACTCCGTGTCCGTGTCAAGATCATCACTCGTCTACACAACATGCAAGTAAACGTACACGCATGCGATGAGTTGGGTGTGGATGGTGAAAATAATACATGCTGGGTAAAAATCCTACTTAAATTATGCCTATAAAATTTTCGGTCTTCCTTTTTTTTATTCACATGGTAAAAATATGCTAAAAATTGAAGTCATTCAAACTTTAAAAATTTATAACCAAAAAATTTTCTAAATTTTACTACAATATAGTTTTTTTTTTAAATTAATAACTTCTTAGTTCTTTTCTACACATATGTATAATATTTTTCAATAATTTAATCTAAATTTTTCATTTACTTTCACCAACCACACAATTAGTAAATGAACCCAAATTAGACAACACAAAAAAAACAACAAAAATTTGTAAAAAAAAACACAACACGTTCATACAATGAGCTCTAGACCTAAACCTATTACATGATAGTGTTTATGATGTCACTAGAAAAAAAAGTTAAAAACATCGCACAAAGCCTTGAATTAAAAAAAAACAACATAAAACCACTTTTAGCAGATTTTCTTGGATAAAATTTTGCGCAAGATTGGTCCATAAGAAAACACACTAGGAGACTTTAGAGTTTAGAAAGTTTAATTTTCACTCTAGACAGATGTCGGTTAAGGTGGCTAATCTCTCTAAGAGACAAGACTAGAGCGCTACCATAGTGTCTCATGGTATACAGCAGTATAGAAGCGACACGACATAAGATTTCTTAGTCTGCAGTCTATAAGGCTGGCTGGAAATTCCATAACAGAATTACCAAAATTGGCATAATAAGCCCAATTGCAGATTCAAAATTAGAATCTTATAATGTGGAGCCGCATAAGTTATCCATTATATATTATTATAAAAAAAACATATTTTCTTAAATCATATTCCACACTGTCTCAAAAATATTCTATAAAAATCCTATAAATCTGTTATTAAATAGAAATTATTGTATAATTAAGGACCGTCAATATAAGAAATATAAAAAATCTGATAAAAGTAGTATCATAGACAAAACAAAAAAAAACAATGCCATGTTTATGACCGTTATTTGAAAAAAATACCATGATCTATGACCCAACATGCGCACACGCACAAACAAACAAACACAACTACTATAGTATCGCGGCTCACATTTGCTACGTGTTTCGAGAGTGTAATGCTCGTCCAGTTCCACATCTTCTGGGTCTAGTTCCTCTTCGTCCTACATTTAGGAAGTTGTTATGAATGTTTTAAAAAGAATCAAATCTTTATACAAATCCCGCGGGAAAAGCATATTTAAAAAAAAGAGAATGAGCTGTTCACTTGGTAGTAAGTGCCTATGGTCATAGATATCTACAACATAAAATGAGTTGCAGATGCGTTACAACTTTTTAAAATACCTAAAAACTCTATAAAAGCCCCATGTTATATCTCATTAAATATTTTTTTGCGTACGTATGAGTAAAATGCTTAAGGCGCCATAGGTCCAACGATTTTATTATCTAAGGAGGATCATCATTTATCACTTCAAAGCCTTATCTAAAGCACATCAGAGATGATAAAAAAAATGATAAATTGATAAAAGAAAAAAAAAACAATTTATTGAATCAATGGAAGTAATATAAATCGTGTTTTTAAAAATCTACAAAAATTTAGAGTATAAGAGTAAATTTCGTGAGCCGATGGCGCTTTAATTCCCATAGCATCTGGTAAAGAGACATGAGTTGGACTAGGCCTGATTAAAACAAATATTTGTATGGTCATATTTATATCCTACATTCAATATTCAACATTTGTAAGTACGCTTGGATAAACTGCAAAAAAGGGTAGCAGTTTGAAAATTAACCATAAAAAATATTCACTTTCAATTGTTTTTTTTGCTATTAGCCTTTTAAAATTTAGAACTCGAACGGGGTTCGAACCCGTACTAATAACTGCTGTTCAGACAAGCAGAACCATAAGCCAATGCCACATCCAAACACAGACATACATATATCCTCCTTACATCAACTCATCAAACATACACACTCACACCCCATACATCCATCGTACATACCCTGTTCATGAGCACAGCCCGCCGTATCTCCCTGACGGCATCGTACACGAGACGGGAGGCATCTATGAAGTCATTCTCATCTAGCCCAGCACCAGCTCCACCACCGAGGGCGGATACCGCCGCGTCTACACGCACTGCAAACTTGGACATCACTGTAACAAATAACAATGAAATATTACTTATAGGATATGAGAAATAAACACTTTAAAAAACAGACTTCCAGGCACTAAAATGTTAAAAAATAACTAAGCGGGGGTTTTCATTTAGAATAGATACCTAGTCAGACATTTTCGAAGTCGGCGCCAGCCGATGCAAAGCAAATCTAATATATTTCGATACGTAAAATATATCACAAATTGTTGTATAATTTTTAAAATATTTAATTATTATTATAGTTAGAGTTACATATATTATTTTATAATTAGAGTTACATTATAAATATCATATTTACCTATTAGATATTCTGTTAATATTTGGATATCAAAATATATTATAGTTTATGATTTGTTTTATCTATCTTTTAGAATATAATTTTGTTATCTGTGGTATCTATATTCTATGGTAATATATGTAAAAAATATAAAGTAACTTTTGCCAACGATCTCAACGTTTTTTATTAGGTTATGGGCCCAGTCCCTTAGTTTTTCGCAAAAGTAATAGGTAGATTGTTAGTATTTTCTTGTTTTGTGCTTAAAAAAAAATGAGTAATTTTCTTGCGAACGTGCCGAAGTTAAAAGGCCGAGAAAACTATGACGATTGGGCGTTCGCGGTAGAAAATTTGCTGATACTCGAAGGCGTGGACAAGTATCTGAAGCAAGAAACTCCTGGCGCTGCTGAAGTAGCAGATGCGGCAGATATAAAAGCACGAGCTAAAGTGATTTTGACGATTGATTCATCGTTATTTGTGCACATAAAGCATGCAAAGACCACGCGGGAATTATGGACAACGCTGAAGTCTTTATTTGACGATTCAGGTTTTTCAAGGCGGATAACTTTGCTTCGTCATTTAATATCGATCAGATTAGAAAACTGTGAAAATATGACGAATTATGTGACACAAATAGTGGAAACTTCGCAAAGATTAACCGGTACGGGTTTTGCAATCAATGATGAATGGGTTGGTTCCTTGATGTTGGCTGGTTTACCAGAACGATTCATGCCAATGATCATGGCTATTGAGCACTCAGGAATTCCAATAACGGCTGATTCGATTAAAACCAAACTATTGGATATGCAATCTGTTGACTTGAGTGAAACGGAATGCAACTCGGCATTAGTTGCAAAAAGTTGATGCAAAAATAAAAATGGCAACACTAGCAAGCAAGGATCACAGACTACACAAAGACAAACGTCAAAATCAAATATCAAGAACAAGAAATTAATAACATGTTACAAATGCAAGGAAGCCGGTCATTATCGTAATCAATGTCCACTTTTACATGAAATCGCAGATAAGAAAAAACAGAATAACGCTTTCAACGTTGTTTTTCTTAGCGGGAATTTTAATAAAAGTGATTGGTACGTGGATTCCGGAGCCAGTTTGCATATGACAGCGAATAAGGATTGGATAAAAAATCCGCTGTATTTATCAAATTTACCAGACATTATTATTGCAAATAAAGAAAAAGTTCCTGTTTTATGTTCGGGAGACGTGGAGCTCGTCACGAGTCACGATTACGAGGTTAACGTGAAAAATGTACTTTGTGTGCCAAGTCTTACAACTAACCTCCTATCAGTCAGTGAATTGATAAAGAATGAAAACAGTGTCGTCTTCGAGCCTGACAAATGCCTTATAAGAAATAAATCAGGTGATTTAATAGCAGAGGCCAACCTTATTGATGGTGTTTACAAGTTGGAATTAAGAACAACTAAAAGCTGTTTACTATCTCAGTCATCTGTTGATGGTGACACATGGCACAGGCGCTTAGGACATTTAAATAGCAATGATATGAACAAAATGAAACGTGGATTGGTTCAAGGAATGGATTATCCTGACACATTTGTGACTAATAAATTGAACTGTGAGATTTGTTGTGAAGGAAAACAAGCAAGATTGCCCTTCCCCAAGGGTACAAGAGCCACAGAGACACTTCAAATCATCCATTCTGACATATGTGGTCCCATGGAGTGTAATTCCATTGGTAATGCCAGATATTTTCTACTGTTCATAGATGATTTTACCCGAATGAGTTTCATTTATTTCCTCAAAGCTAAAAGTGAAGCTTTAAATTATTTTAAAGATTTCAAAGTGATGGTAGAAAATATTCAAAACAAGAAAATCAAAATCTTGAGGACTGACAATGGGTGCGAATACTGTAGCAAAGATTTTGAAGATTTCTTGAAAAGTGAAGGCATAGTACACCAGAAGACTAACCCCTACACACCAGAACAAAATGGACTTAGTGAGAGATCAAACAGAACCATTGTTGAGAGGGCAAGATGTCTATTGTTTGAAGCTGGTTTAAATAAAAAGTTTTGGGCGGAAGCTGCTAATACTGCAGTTTACTTAAAAAATAGATCAGTATCTTCAGGCATTGAAAAGACTCCATATGAGATGTGGACTAGTAAAAAACCCAATCTAGAGCACATAAGAATATTTGGTAGTCCAGTTATGGCACATGTTCCAAAAGAAAAAAGGACTAAATGGGACAAAAAATCCAAGAAACACATACTTGTGGGATTTTGTGAAAATGTCAAGGGTTATAGAATCTATGATCCAGTGAAGAATCTAGTGACAACTAGTAGAGATGTAGTGATTCTAGAAAAGAAAAGGAATCGAGACACAGTAACTGTCTCCATAGAAAACACAGATTCAGTGGGGGAATTAATGGAAGAATCTGTGGTTAAATTAGAACCTTTTGAGTCCAGCTCTAGTGAATCAGACTACCGAGATGTTGAAGAAGAGAATGTAGAGCCCATAGCTAAAGAACAGCAACATTTAGAAGATATTTCACACTTAGATCCATTAGTGACAGTCAACACAGGGATGCAAAAACGACAGAGGAAGCAACCTGAACGGTATGGATATGCTAATATATGCACAAGCGTAGGAGAAGATGGAATGTCATATGCAGAGGCTATCAGTGGGCCTGAGAAACAACAGTGGCTGCAGGCGATGGCAGAGGAACTGCGGTCATTCCAAGACAACAATGCATGGGAAGTTGTTGATCGTCCAGATAACGTGAGTGTAGTGCAGTGTAAATGGGTGCTTAAAAAGAAATTCGATTGTGACAACTCAGTGAGATATCGTGCGCGATTAGTAGCTAAAGGTTATACACAAAAAGCCGGTGTGGACTATAAAGAAACTTTTTCCCCAGTTATTAGACATTCCACTTTACGGTTATTATTTGCTTTGAGTGTACAGTTAGATATGGACATTACCCATTTGGATGTTAAAACAGCTTTTCTTAATGGACACCTAAAAGAAAGTATTTTTATGCATTTACCAGAAGGTTTTCCTGTCAGTGATTTAAATAAAGTTTTAAAATTAAAAAAGGCTGTTTATGGTTTAAAACAATCCTCACTTGCATGGTATCAAAGAGTAGAGGAAACATTATGTACATTAGGGTTTACTAAGAGTAAATTAGAGCCTTGTGTTTTTATAAAGAATCATAGTAACCATAAGAAAACTATCGTTGGAATTTATGTTGATGATTTTTTGATATTTTCAAATAGTAAATCTGAATCTGATTATCTTATAGAAGCTTTGAGTCAAAAATTTCAAATAAAGAATCTAGGCCAAGTCAAACAATATTTAGGTATGAGAGTTCACATTGATAAAAATTCAAATGTAATTACAGTAAATCAAGAGCATTATATCGAACATTTATTAAAAAAATTTAATATGCTTGATTGTAATACAGCTGAAACTCCTATTGAATGTAAACTAAATCTTGAGAAATCAAATATTTGTGTAGAGAATTTACCTTATCAAAAATTAATAGGTAGCTTAATGTATTTGGCTGTATTAACTCGACCGGATATATCCTATTCAGTCAGTTATTTAAGTCAATTTAACAATTGTTATTCATATACTCACTGGAATTATGCTAAAAGAATCTTAAAGTATTTGTTAAAAACAAAAGATTATTGTCTGAAATATTCCAAAGAAAAAGCAGAACTAGTAGGATATGTAGATGCTGATTGGGCAAGTGATGCCATTGACAGACGGTCTTACACAGGATTTTGCTTTATCAAATCTGGCTCTGCTATTTCTTGGGAAAGCCGAAAACAAAGAACCATAGCATTAAGCAGTTGTGAAGCTGAATTCATGGCTTTGTCAGAAGCCTGTCGCGAAGCTATTTATTTACAGAACCTAGAATTGGAAATAACAGGTATTTGTAATAAGATTGTATTATACAATGACAGTCAGAGTGCATTGAAGTTAGCAAATAATCATCAGTCTCACAAACGTTCTAAGCATATAGATGTACGTTACAATTTCATTAGAGATATTATTAATAATGATATTGTTGAAACAAAGTATTTGCCAACTGGTAACATGCCCGCTGACTTACTAACTAAAGGTTTATCCGGCACTAAACATTACAGGTTTATGAATATGATTGGGATTGTTAAAAATGACTTTTTAATTTTTAATGACTTGAAGTTTTTTGTTTGCTTAGTAATTGATATAGTGCTGGGATTAATATGTAATTTTGATATAGTGGGGGTGTTAATATTTGGATATCAAAATATATTATAGTTTATGATTTGTTTTATCTATCTTTTAGAATATAATTTTGTTATCTGTGGTACCTATATTCTATGGTAATATATGTAAAAAATAAAAAGTAACTTTTGCCAACGATCTCAACGTTTTTTATTATATTCATATCTTAAAATATTGTCGGCTGGCACCGACTTCGAAAATATCTGATTAGGTATCTATTCTAAATGAAAACCACCGTTTAGTTATTTTTTACAATTTAGTGCCTGAAAGTCGGTTTTTTTATATTTTTTATTTTTAGTGTAGACGTAATAAGCAGGTGATTTATTAGAAGAAAGTTTTTAATAACATATTCGATTAAGCAATTTATTTAAAAAAATAATATATTGTTGATTTTTAAAAAAGCCACTCGACCGATTTCGATAAAATTTAAATGAGACCACCTGGGAAGAAGATCCTTCGTAACAAAAAAAATCCAAATAGGTTGAGGTGTCTTCTAGTAATCGATGAACATACATACTCGGAACCTCCTCCTTTTTGAAAGTCGCTTAAAAATGCGATAGTTTGTATGAGTGTATGTTTGTTATCCCTGTATGTTAAAATGGCTGAACTGATTTGGCTGAAATTTAGTATACAGATATGAGCTGGTGTAGTCGTGGTGTAATTTAGGATGTGAAACTGTACGATAAACTAACTTTTATTTAAAACTAAGCGCCCCGACCAGACGTCGTCCTATCCCAATTTCATCTTCGAGACCATACAAAATTTGAATATTTAGATTGAATCATTTACAGCTTCTCCGGAATTACCCAATATGATCTTTTCCGAGCCAAATCGGTTCAGACGCAACGAATAACTTTTCATTTTGAAGATTAGATCAGTATAAGAAATTTACGAGTGTGTGTTACAAGAAGAAACCTCGAATTCAGAGTCACTTCCAAAGAACTCGAGGGATCTCTGGTATCTAGCTTTGTCTAAGTTCAGACGCACCTTGTTCTTAGAAACATCAAACGTACCCAAAAAGCAAATAACCTTACAAATATAAAATGTTAGTTAATATTTAAATAAGAACCGAGGCAAATATGTCAGGGGTCACGGACATTTTGGACTTTTAGAAAAATAATCTAAATATGTTGTTAGAAACTTTTCACACAGTAGCTTCGTGTCTAAATGGCATAGTTTAATTTTTAACCTCTAAGGTCACGAGTTTACGCCTCATTAGAGGTAATCTTTTAAAGATAATTCAGAGTTAACTTATAATATACAGTATATCTTATAATATTAAATTAATTCTCGTATGTGAATTTATTTCGTGTATCCCGGAAACTGCTCTAACGATTTGGATCATATTTTGTATATAGATAACGTACTACTCGTAGATGAGTGTATTTTCCGAAAAAATACGCAATTTTTATGCTTTTTCCGAAATGTTTTTCAATTAAAAAAAACACAGAGCAAAGCTTGTTCGGCTAAATTTTACTATATTTATTAACTATGCATGAAGAAAAAAGTTAAAAAGCATTCATATTTTGCTTCGAATGAACAAAAAAAAGATGATTCAAATGATGTAAAGAATTAAAAAGAAATAAAAAAAAAATATATTTCTCGATGTTGCCTTTTATGAGATATATCTTACGTACAAGCAAACACTTTATCTCTGTAACAGTCCGAGATAATCAATTTGTTATGCATTAGATTTGATTTATTAAGCGTTTGGAATGACTTCAGCCTTAGCGTGAGGTCTCCCATTTGGTTTTCCTGCTCTATGTTAGAACATAATATAGTCTATGTTAGAACATAATTAGTATAGAATACTAATATTATAAATGTGAAAGTTTGTAAGTATGGATGTTTGTTACTTTTTCACGCCAGAACGGCTGAACGGATCTGGAAGAAATTTGGCACAGAGATAGATTATAGTCTGGAATAATACATAGGCTACTTTTTATCCTTGAAAAATGAACGGTTCCCGTGGGATAGGTTTGTTTTTGTTTTCCTAGAGGCGAACCCGAGCGAGGCGAGGAAGGGGCCGCTAGTACTTAATACTATAATGGGGAAAGATTATTTGTTTATTTGTTTCAAATAAGCTCCGAACTACTGGACCAATTTAGATGAAATTTGGTAAGAATATAATATATGAAACCCTTGGAATAACATAGGATAATTTTTATCCTGGAAATCATCCGTTAAGGGGGTGAAAGTAGGGATGACAGTTTATTTTTGTAATAAACCTAGGGACGAACCCGAGCGAAGCGAGGATGAGTCGCTAGTTTATATAAATAAATATGAATGCTATTTGTTGGTAAGTGCATCATTTGAGAATCATTAGTTAGCTATTTTAATAATGTAATATTTTTTAAAAGCTATTATTTAACTTGCAATGTTTGTTAGTCGGTATATGTTTATGGGTCAAATCTCGCGAGATGAATTAGAACCATTACCTCTTATCCAACCGAAAATGTTACTATTACTCGAATACCAAATGAAATAAGTACGTATTCAGACCTCTTTTACCGTCCCACTGCTGGGAATGGGCTTCCCAATACTCGGGGCATCAGGCCATAGTCCCCCACGCTGGCCAAGTGCGAGCGGACTGAGCATGTTTGCATACAACTTGCTAGGTTCTCTCAGACATGCATGTCCCCTCACGATGTTTTTATTCACAACTAGCATTGCCCGCGGCTCCGCACGCGTTCAGATGACCAAAAATAAAATTCTTAGCTACAATGTAGTTTTTGTATTTTTTCTCTAAAATGAGATATTTTCCCGCGGCAAAAAGTATCCTATAGTTGACCCGGATAACCAGCTATCATCATACCTAATTTCATCAAAATCTGTCCAATGGTTTTCTCGTGATGCGGTAACAGACAGATAGACAAAAATTCTAAAAACTATAGATTCGGACTCTGTATCGATAATAATGTCTATTTCAATAAGATTTTCCAAAAAATATTTAAAGTACAGATTCGACTTAGTAACAATTTTATTATATGTATAGATAAGGCATGAATTAAGTAAATCAAATATGTAAAAACTATTAAAGAGTGTAATGTCGTAACGTTACAGGATCGAACAAATATCGCCTCTCACTATTTTGTTGGAGACCCAGTAATTATAAGTTTGTTTGGCTGATAGGGTTGTCACTTTCTAGTTTTTTTTTTCTAAAATTAAAATCTCTTTCGGTCTTTGAATCTTGAAACGAAACCATTATAGTTTTACAAAACTAAAAATTCGCACTTTGTCACCAATTGTAATGTATGAGAGTACTCAAAACCCGAAGGCTTTACTACTTTGACGACACGTTTGGCTCAGTTTCTAGTGACTCTACTTGCTGTGCCAGCGGTCGCTGGTTCGAGTCCCGCTGGAGGCATTTGTTTGATGAGCACGAATGTTTATACTCCAGTCATAGGTGTTTACATTTATAATATGTATGTATATTTGTGTAGTGTATCAACTATCTGGTATCCATAACACAGGCCTCGTTGCTTAGCTTGGAACTAGATGGTGATGTGTGTTAAGGTCCCAACATATTTATTTTATTTATTATTTACTAGCCTTAGGAAAATTTTACTGCCCAATTACAACATCCTGATAAAATTATTAGTAGGGGAGCCCAAGAGGGGATTTTCTGTAGTTACTCGAGCGCGGCAGATTAACATAAAAGAGGTTACCTTGCAATCTATTGAGTACTTTCACCACAATATAAGTCTTCTATATAAAGGGGCGCGTCTAGGGAAGCCGATTAAAATATTTAAAAAATGTGCACAAGCCTAAGAGGCAAAAATCATCATAAACTTTATAGTCGATTTTTGCCTCTTCGGCTTGTGCAAATCGGCAGATTATTGAATTGGACACTTTTCAGGATGTGACTAGCCTACTACACCTTAATCTGACGGTTTCAAGTATTTCTACCTTATCAAAACATTTTTTAAATATTTTAATCGGCTTCCCTAGAGACGCGCCCCTTTATATAGAAGACTTATATTATGGTGAAAGTACTCAATAGAGTGCAAGGTAACCTCTTTTATGTTAATCTGCCGCGCTCGAGTAACTACAGAAAATCCCCTCTTGGGCTCCCCTACTGTCCACCTTAAAAAAGTGAAAGCCGTATAAAAGAAGACTTTCCTAAACGGTTCAAATCTGACAACCCTGCAATTCCATATTTTGATTGACATATTAGAATTATTATGAAGTAAATGACTAGTAAGTGTTATCTTTATATCGGACGATACGACTGCGATACGATCAACAGTCTGCAAGACTACAGTAAAAACAAAAAACAGTTTTATTATTTTGAGCAGACGTCCATACATTATTGTAAAACTGATGTTTATAATCAAATAAATTTAACGAGGGTCAAATCGCGGGCCACAGCTAGTATACTACAATTTTGGGAAGGATTAAAGAATATTTCGGCGTTTATAATCAATAAAGGTAAAATAGGGGATGATTTTAAGTTTTTTTTAAAGGCTATGTAGATAGAAATCGTGATGTATAAACACACGCAACGCCCAATGACCGTTTGAAATGTCAAAGTGTTTAAGAAACAACTATTATATGTTTATTTGCACACAAAAACGTACACGAAAGTGGGTCACGAATGTAGAATTTTCATATAACCTTAATTAAATATTAGCTATCACTCTTCACTGTATGACATAAGAGGCTATTATTATTAAATCTATTCAAAATATATTTTAAATTTTCGCGGATTTATTTGGTTTTTTGGTTCCCGACGTGTCGTTCACAGTTACAGCGCACATGGTCACGGGAGAGGCTGAGGATTTAGATGTCTTAAAGGCATTATATAGTTGTCACACGACAAACATGACAAAATGAATTTAAAAAAAATCTAAAATGGCACTAAAGTACCTTACAAAATAAATGTCTTTAACCATACAATATTTGTTCATTTTAAACTTTTTTATAATTTTAATAAGTTTGAAAATTTGAAAATATAGTTTTATTTAAAACTACCGACTCACCCTCGCTCCGCTCGGGTTCGTCCCTAGGGGATTCTAAACTATTTGGGGTTTTTTAAACTGACTCCAACGTCTCAACTGTTTGATGTAAGCAAATAAATTTACACAGTAATTAAGTGTACATATCATAGAAGAAATAAAGCCGAAAATCAACCCAATCAGCCCACTCTTTATATATAAAATCTTTGCTATAATAGTGATAGTCGAGAGGTTAATAACGAGGCGATATTACAGGTTTTCGCTCCAATTCTGTATATGCTGTTTATTTCTTGGCAGTCCAGATGAATTTTAGCTTCTTCTATGATTTCTTTTATGTGATCAACAAGTTCTATTTCCCTCTTTCTATTTACTCAACACCAAAAAATATCAGGTTGCTATTTCGCTTATGTTTTTCAAGGTAATAACTTTTTCCCCCAGTCTCGTCATTTGAGTTTTTAAATTTGCTGGTTCCAGCAAACTCGAAAACTAAAATAACGAAATTAATATTTTCATGTCTTTATCTATTGCTTCCATAACGTTTTAAGTAAATGTCGTTGTCGATGTATACCGATCAAATGTTTCATCCAGCTTTGCATCAAGTTTTGAAATTGATAACTTTATTTGTTCATTCATTTTTGAAATATGTTTTGGCAACACTTTCTATTTCTACGATGATTTGGAACTTGTAATAGTAACCCTATTTACAAATAAAAAAAAATATTTTTGTTTGCAACACTGGTGTTTCTGTCTTGCTGTTATGTTGGTATAATAGCTTTGCGGTGAATTTCAATCTTCAGTAGTTTTTAGGTTATGCCGTCATATATTCACTACACTTTTTTGAATTAATCCTGGCCACCGTCAATGCTCCGCTTGTTTACAGTTTTTTTCAATTTTCAATTACGTTTCCAAAACGGCCCGAGTTATTCCATTTTATTCACTTGAGCTAACTGATGTACGTACTACTATCTTATTATTACATTAATTTACATGTAATTTTGTTTATTTAATAGACGATACATATTGTATGTAACAATTGTACATAACAATTTAGGTTTTAATTTTGCAAATTACTTTTTTAAATATATAGAAATAATCGTGGCATGATGGTAATTGGTTAGCCATACAGTGTGTTAAATATTTATCAAAGTTTAACGTGTGTTAATTGAAAAATAATTATAATGAATCTTTTATCAAAACGACTGTAAACCTAACATAAATTGTGCAAAATAATTATTTTTAGTTAACATTTACAGTCTTTAAAATAATCTTAAAAGAAATTGTTTTATATTATGGGGTGGAATATTCTTTTTTTTTATTTTAAATGACACTATTCTACAGATATAGTAATGAGAAAAAATCACCATGAGTTCTATTAAACTAAAAAAAAACAAAAATGTCTACTTTCATTAAAATCACTTTTTCAAATTTGGTCATTTTTTATAATATTTTAGTGATACACAGATTTAGTGATTTTAGTGATAAATATACTAAGCAAGTTTTTAACGTCCCATATCTGGACAAGACCTGCGTTCAATTCAAGGGGGGTCAGTCCATAATCCACCACGCTGGCCAAGTGCTGGTTGGCGGACTTCAAACGTCTTGCGAGTTTCCTATCGATGTTTTCCTTCATCGTTAGGCAAGTTGTAATCATTTTGAAAATAAGCCTTACATGAAAATATTAGAAGTGCGAGATCCGAGATTTGAACCCACTTCACCTGGTTTTCCAAACAAGCGCATTATCACTGAACTGCTACTGTCTCGATATATAGATTAAAGATAGATATTATTATATACATTTTTTTACACCTGAAACAACAGCAAAGTGTCTTTTGTTTATATGACGCATGAGTACTAAGCAAAGATCTACACAGCAAATACCGATTTCACAAATTCCAAAAAAAAACACACTTAAAAGTGACTAATTATATTTTTATGTGGTAAGTCATTTTATTAAATAAAATAAAAAAGAAACTGATACTATAGTTTTGAGTGTACCTGTTTTAGTTTTAAAGGTTTTTTTTAATTACAAACCTCATTTGATTTAAAATCTTTACAGACCAAATATGCAGTTGATATATTTATCGATCACAATTTATTTGGTCAAATGTGCAACAAGTTTGGACATTTTGGTGGAAACTTCGCATGGAAAGATACGTGGGCTGAGAGCTGATGATGGCGACTACTTTATGTATCTTGGAATACCATATGGTCAAATTAGAGATAATCCGTTTGAAGTAAGATTTTAAATTTACTATATATCTTCTTTTTCAAAAAAAAAAGCTTAAATAATAATTAGTTGAAACAAATTTGGGATTCAGTTTTAAATTTATTGAAGGAATAATCATAGAAACATAAAAAATAGCATTTTTTACATATGCATAAATTATTATTATGTTTGTGTCAACTCTATCTTAATTCCTAACAAAATTATTCCACAGATTGCTCAACCTTATCCAAAATTTAAGAGTACCTTCAAAGCGTACAACGATTCCATCGTTTGTCCCCAAATAAAAGATGGTATATTTATGGGCACACTAGATTGTCTGCGACTAAATATATTTGCTCCAACATCAGCAAGTTTTCGGAACAGATTGCCTATTATGGTCCTGATCCATGGCGGAGGATTTATATTTGGCTATTCCAGTAGATACAGTTACGGTCCTAAACATTTGGTAAGACACGACGTTATCCTTGTCACGTTTAATTACAGGCTTGGCCCGTATGGATTCATGTGTTTAGACACACCAGGCGTCCCTGGAAATCAAGGATTGAAGGACCAGTTATTACTATTACGGTGGGTTAAAGCACATATAGCTTCGTTTGGAGGCGATGTTAATAAAATTACGTTAATTGGTGAAAGTTCAGGTAGCGTGTGCGCTGAAGCACATCTTCTTTCTAAACAAGAAAAATTATATACCAAACTCATATTAGAAAGTGGTGTTGTTGCAAAACCGGGTATCATTATAGACTCAGATCCAACAATGCCGATCAAAATAAGTGAACGGATGGGTTTTAAAACTAAAAATGTATCAGAAGCTTTGTCATTTCTTACAAAATCTGATCCAAAATGGGTAGTAACAACGTATAATGAGCAAAAGATTACGTTAGGTATTTGTATAGAGAAGGAATTTGAAAACGTAGAAAGCTTTCTGACTGAGCATCCGTTAAACTTAGGAACACCCCAAGTCAAAGAAATGCCGATTTTAGCTGGGTATAATAACCGAGAAGGACTTATGATGGACGCGTTGAAGCCTTATGATTATTTCAAAAAGGAAAACTTCCTTCGTGATTCTCTTGAAAAAATATTTAATTATGACGAATCTTTCATCGAAATGGAAAAAATAGTTCATCGTTTTTATTTCGGAGATAGAGAAATAACTGACGATTTTAGACATAGGGTTATCGATTTTATATCAGATTTTTACTTCAATCATCCCATTCAGGGAACGTTAGACAAATTGTATAACTGTGGTGCTAACATTTTTCAATATTTATTTTCGTATGATGGTGGCATAAATTATATAAAAAATAAATACAAAATTACAAGTGAAGGCGCAGCTCACGGCGATGAACTGGAATATTTATTTGTTCTGAAAGAGAAAACTGCATGTTCTTCAAATGATCAAGTTATGATTGATCGTATGACAAAATTATGGACTAACTTTGCTAAGACTGGGTAAGTGTCGTAGGACGACGGTACAGAAAATTTATAAGTTAACTAGCGACTCGGTGAGTCCCTAGCTTGCTTCCTCATACAAACTTTCATCCCCATTCTGACTGCCTTAAGGGATAATTTCCGGAATAAAAACTATTTCAATCACTCACTTTTCATATCATGAGATTTAAAAAAAAACTATGTTAGTAAAAAAATGTTCTTTTAATTTTCTTCTACACAAAGAAGCTTGTCCTGACAATACAGACACAAAAAAAAGAATTATCCAATTTGGCACAGTCGATCGGGAGTTATGCGCGTACATACATTTCGGTGATTCATTTTTATTTATATAGATTCTCTAGATCTTCCTTCAATTAATCTCCAGCTTATCGCTTTATGTGCAACTAAAATCATTATTTATTTCAGAGATCCGACACCACACACTACTTCTCTACTTCCGGTTAAATGGATGCCTATAACCGGAAATAGTACAAACTATTTGAATATCGATTCAGAATTATCTATGGACGTACGACCTTTCAATGATAGATTATCTTTTTGGGAGTTGTTCTTTAAAGCAAATAAGAGAAAATTGAAAGGGTATCGAGAAAATATTTAATTGAAATATTATTAAGTAACACTGTTTAGTTTGTTTCAATAAAGGTTTTCAATAATTTACTTTATTTTTATTTACTTTCCGAAGGTAATTTTTGGGACGAAGGACAGCAGCTGTATAGATCATTATATATAAAAACTTAAAAAAACCACTTCCAGGCACTAAAATGTAAAAAATAACTAAACGGAGGTTTTCATTTAGAATAGATACCTAATCAGATGTTTTATATTTGATATGAAGTACTAGAGACTCACTCTCGCTTCACTCGGGTTCGTCCCCAAACAAACTTTCATCCCCATTTTCACCCCCTTAAGAGATGATTTCCGAGATAAAAATTATCCCAGGGTCTCAAACTATCTTCTTACCAAATTTCATCTAAATTGGTTCAGTAGTTTCGGAGCTTATTCCGTACAAGCAAATTAACAAACAAAAAGTCTTTCCTCTTTATAATATAAGTATAGACTAGCGGCTTACTGTCGCTTCGCTCGGGTGCGTCCTTAGGTAAGTTTTTATTTATTTTTTTGAGTAGAACCTTAATACTTTTTCTAAATAAAAGTAGCCTACGTTACTTCTTATAACATTAGTTATCTGCCAGTGAAAGTCCCGTCAAAATCAGTACAGCCGTTTCGGAGATTAGCTGGAACAAACAGACAGACAGACAGACAAAAATATTGAAAATTATTTTTTTTTATAAGTACTGTATACAATTTCATCTGCATTTAGTAAAAAACTATTATTTTGACGTTACAAACAGACGATTCAATTTTATTTATTTGTATAGAAGTATAGATAATATTTGGGTTTTTCATAATCTTAAACAACAAAGTGTACATAACTTTGCTCGTCATTGACTTATTGATAACACATCTCAAGCCAATCGATAACAGATTACGAATTGTTCAGAAGTTAAATTTTGCCGACACCATTTTATTTTAATGATACTTAAAAATGTTGCCAACGAGGTTTATTTGAAGGTCACATTTCATTTTTACTTTTAAGGGTTTTTTTAGGAATGTAATGAAAATAAGAAATAATATGTTGGTACATTAACGCTCAGCAGCATCTAGTTCCATGGTAAGCTATAAGGCCTGTGTTATGGACACCAGATAGTTGATACACTACAGTCTACACATATATAATAATATATATAAATAAATACATACATATAAATTATATTTGGACTTCTTGTCCGAAATAAACGCTTATTATTATTATAAATATCCTGATATACATCATTTATGTCTGGTTTTATCAATAAAATTTTAATTTGATTTTGCTTAAAATTATAATATTTTATGGATTTATAAGATAAAAATGATTCGACGAAGTTTGTTTTTGTACCGATAATGCTAAAAATACTCATAAATATTACATAACTTGTTAAGCCATTTATTTGTTATGACTAATGTTCGTCCTGTGGTCGAAATTTGACCAAACATTAATAAAAATTTGTGGAAAACATATATGAATAGAATTCACCTATCTACATATGTATATAAAAAACTTAGTCTTTCCTTAGCTTGCTTCCCAATACAAACTTTTATCCCATTTTCACCACCTTAAGGGATGATTTCCGGGATAAAAAGTATCCTATGCTCTTCCCATGGGCACAAATTATCTTCTTACCAAACATCTAAATTGGTTCAGTACATCCAAAGATTACCCACTGCAATGTCACAAACTCACAAACTTACTTAATAATGTTAGTATTGTCCAGTGGTTTTCTCGTGATGCGTTCCTAGACAGACAGACAAAAATTCTAAAAACTATAGATTCAGCCCTATCGATAATAATAACTTTTTCTAACGATTTTCCAAAAAAATATTTAATGTATAGATTCGACTCAGATATTTCTTCATTATATGTATAGATAAAAAGATTGACTGCCTCGTTGGTCTAGCTGCTAGCATATATGGTTGTAGATCCGAAAGTTCTAGGTTCGACTCTCAGGTTGAACCTCGTAATCGAGTATGCTTTTTCTGTCAAGAATTTCTCAGTAACAGCCCTGAGTCTGAAAGTTGGATGTGTTTAACGTCTATATCTGCATTTGCACCTGATGTCTCAACGGTCGTGTCGCATTCGCGCAGACGAATACTTGTGCACTACAATAACTCCTACAATTGGCCAGTCTTAGTGAGAATGACCGCCGTGACAAAAATCTATCAGCAGAACATTTGGAAGTCCCACATTTTTCCAGCCGAAGAATCCGTCGATTTAAGATATAAATCCAACTATTAAGATAAATCACACGGGTTTGATTTTTTCCAAATATAATGATATTTGGAAAAAATCAAACCCGTGTGATTAAACTATCTCGTGATCATACTAACGAGGATCAAAGTCTCAGCAGATTCATTTTACATAAATTGTGTACTATAAACTCAGTTTCCAAAATAAATATTAGATTTGTTGTCGGTTTTCGAACATCTTTAGTTGCATTCTTATCATGAAATATCGAAACTTAAGTCTACGTTCTTATAATATCAGGAGATCAAGGTTAATAAGTAGGAGGTGAATTATTTATTAAAACACTTGACTTAACCAATATCGACATTATCTCAAGAGATATCGATTTTATCCGATAAAAGATGAACGAAATCAATTTCGTCAGAGTTCATGGGTGGTTAGAGTGTTGTTTGATCTGGTGGAAGCAAGATGTGGGGGATCAGTTGTCTCTTACTTTTAACCCTCGGGTTAGTACAGGGCAGGACTAGGTTAGACCCTCTAGTGGATACTCCGCAAGGTCTGATCAGAGGACTGAAGGTTGATGAAGGCGATTATTCCATGTTCCTTGGAATACCATACGCCAAAGTTGATGAAAATAATCCTTTTGGAGTAAGTTTATTTGTTTTTAGCTGGATTTTATAACAATTTTTTGTTCAAATTGTAAATTTTAGTAGTTTGTGTAGTGATATAATATAGTTAAAAACAAAAAGTCACAATTTATAAAGAAAAATAAATTGCAGTGACACAATGAGAAAAAACGCTTGGAGGATCAAGTGCTTTACTTTTACTCTGAGGCTTAGTAACACCCATTACATGAAATTGGGATATTTTAAGATTTTTTTATAGAAAAACCCAAAAAACTCTCTAGGACTCAGGAAGCGAACCCAGGACCTAATGATTCTCAGGCTACACCGTACAAGCTATATGGAAAATTCAGTGGTTACATCATTAAGTGCTTCATTATAGTATATGTCCTTGACCAAACCACTTACTGATAATACATCTCAAGACAATCGATAACAGATTACAAATACTGTTTCTGAGTGAAATTTTACAATGAGTAGTTAGTTGGATTTAAAGGTGGCGTTTTGTTTGCAATAAAAGCAAGTCAACAATATAAAATAAATTGATACTATCTAGCTAGGGGCTAGCCCCTATCCCTAGGGATAGGGGTCATTGTGGCTGCTAGGGGTTATTATGGAAAAATATTGTCTGTCTTACTATTATGATGAAATACTCGTAATAATTTTAATATACTTTCCTCATTTAGGATATAGTTATGTTAATCATACCAACGTGACTATTCGTGTTAATCTATTTAATATGCTTCATCTAGAATCGAGCTCTATACCTCTATCATCACTACTTTGTTCACTCTGTTTTGCTACTATCAAAAAAAACCTTGCTACCCCTATTTTGAACTTTTAAATATACGTTAATATTTTTTTTTATTTCAGGCATCATCTCCTCATCCTAAATTTGACAACGTTTTTGAAGCCTACGACGATTCAGCCGTATGCCCACAAAAGGAACAACACGGTACTGCTATTCTAGGAACATTGGACTGCTTAAATTTGAATGTGTTTGTTCCCAACACGGCGAGCTCAAAGAATAAACTGCCTGTTTTGGTCTGGATTCATGGAGGTGGATTTATGTATGGGTTTGGAAATAGATATTTGTATGGTCCCAAATTTTTGATTAGACATGACGTCATACTTGTCACCTTAAACTACAGATTGGGACCTTATGGTTTTATGTGTCTCAACACACCAGATGTGCCTGGAAACCAGGGTTTGAAAGATCAGTTCCTGGGCCTGCGATGGATCAAGGACAATATTGCAGCGTTTGGAGGAGATGCTAACAAGATAACTATTATGGGTGAAAGTGCAGGCGCTGCATCCGTAGATTTCCATTTAATTTCGAAACAGGAAAAATTATTCAATCAAGCTATAATGCAAAGCGGTGGCGTTTTCGGTCCATGGGTTATTGGAGATGCGGATACTTCTAAACCTTTGAAAATCGCTGATCATTTGGGCTTCCACACCGAAGATTTATCTCAGGCATTAGCTTTCTTAAAAAATACTGACGTGAATTTAGTTACCGCAGCCTCAGAGGAGTTGGGTTTAACTTTTAACGTTTGCGTTGAGAAAGAGTTCGAAGACATTGAGAGCATACTGACAGACCATCCATTTAACATGGATTATCCTAAAGCTAAACGCATACCTATCTTATCTGGTTTTAACAGTCACGAACAAGTAGCTCAATTTGCAAGTAAAAACCCCGAATTCTTCAAGAATCTGAAGATATTTAGCGAATTGGACGCAATATTTAATTACGACGAAGACTTCCAAGAAATGGAAGATTTGATGCGTCATTTCTACATTGGAGACGAAGATATAACCGACGCTGTACTTTGGAGCATAATAGATTTCAGCTCTGATTACAATTTCACCTTTCCCGTACAGATGAGCATACAAAAGTACCTTGAAAATGGAGCTCAAGATGTGTATCAGTACTTATTTGCATACAGCGGGAAGAGAAATTTTGTTAAGAATAGGGAAAATGTGACAGTAGGAGGTGCGGCTCATGCTGATGAAATTGGGTATTTGTTTGATTTATCCTTTCACGAGGAGCAGCCATCTGAAGCTGATCAACGAATCATTGATCAAATAACCACGCTTTGGACAAACTTCGTTAAGTACGGGTGAGTCATAAAAACCTTATAATTGATTCTATACATTACTTGTTATGAGAAATTGCGTGCAAAATTTCTT